TGTGCCAGGGAAGCAGGGAGAAGCAGGAGCGTCTGCTTCTAGAGTGTCCAGCCAGCAAGAGAGGCTGTGGGAGCCCAGGCGGCCCTGCCAGCCCCTGATCAGCCAGCATCCCAGCTTCGAGACTGGCCTCGTGCTCCGGGTGCTGGTGCTGTGCAGCCTCTGTCCTTGAGTCATCTGATGCAGAGCACCTGGTCCCTGTGAGCACGAATGGCGGTACCCTGCACTGCTTCATGCAGAGCAGGGGGAAGCTTTTAACTGAGGCCTAGAGCCCTTTTAAAGTGACTTATTTGAAAGAGTTTACAAGGAGGGAGGGAAAGAGGTATCTTCTGCCGGCACCGCGGCTCACTAGGCTAACCCTCCGCCTTGCGGCGCCGGCACACCGGGTTCTAGTCCCGGTCAGGGCGCCGGATTCTGTCCCGGTTGCCCCTCTTCCAGGCCAGCTCTCTGCTGTGGCCCAGGAGTGCAGTGGATGATGGCCCAAGTCCTTGGGCCCTGCACCCCATGGGAGACCAGGAGAAGTACCTGGCTCCTGCCATCGGATCAGCGCGGTGGCCATTGGAGGGTGAACCAACGGCAAAGGAAGACCTTTCTCTCTGTCTCTCTCTCTCTCACTATCCACTCTGCCTATCAAATATATATACATATATACATATATATATGTATGTATATATATATATACATATATATATATATATATATATATATATATATATATATAGGAATCTTCCATCTGCTGGTTCAATCCCTAAATGGCTGCAATGGCCAGGGCTGGGGCAGGCTGAAGCCAGGAGCCTGGAGCTTCATCTGTGCCTCCCACGTGGGTGCAGGGGCCCAAGCACCTGGGCCATCTTCTGCCTTTCCAGGCACATTAGCAGGGAGCCGAACTGCAGGTGGAGCAGCCAGGACTCGAACCAGTACCCACATGGGATGCCAGTGTGATTTTACAACACCATAGGTGATGGCCCAAGTGCTTAGATCCTTGCCACCCATGTGACAAACCTGGATTGGTTCCCAGGGTCAAGCTGGCCCAGCCCCTCAGCCATTGAGTATCTGGACAGTGAGGCAGTGGATAGGGGAGCTCTTGGCCTTTCCCTCTGCCTTTCAAACAAAGTGCTCTCGGCAACCCTGCCGGGAACACTCCCACCTTTGCAGGGGAGGAAGTAGTGGCAGAGCTGTGTCCAGAGCACAGCCTGTGCAGCTTCCTCCTTTTCTCCACTTGACGCATCCAGAGTGCGGCTCCAGGGCCCGAAGGGAGATGGCCCAGGATGAGCTTAGCTGCCCCAGACCCCAGACCCTAGACAGAATAGACAAGGGAGCCAAGCTTCTATTCGCAGCAGTGGCTTGGCTGTGCCACTGCACCTTCTAAAGGGGCGTCCTCTCTCTCTCTCTCTCTCTCTCTAGTGAAGTACTCGGCACTTCAAACGCAGTCCGTGGAGCCATCGGCCCCTGAGCCGCCCCGCATCTGAGGCCCCGCTCGGCAGCAGACACACGCCGAGGGTGCCACTGCCTGCGACCCTGCTCCCGACTTCCTCTGGACCCACAGCTGCTGTGCTGCACCGCTGCTCCTCCCGTGTCCTTGGCTTCTTGTCATTCTGAGTTTCCCGGACAAGCTCTGAGTGCTCCCCAGTTTGGTTTCTGTGCTGCACGAAGCGGGATAGGGTGTCCGTCGTGCCGCAGGCACTGAGATTTGGTGCTGAAACTTGACGCGTGACTCAGCACAGAGCCCGCGCTGGCCTCAGAAGCTGCTGGATTGCAGGTGCCCTGGAGCCAGCCTGGCCCAGCCTCAGTGAGCTCTCAGGGGATTGGGGGTGGGGGGGCCATGGACATGAGGGTGGGCAGGATGCTGGGGACGCTGCTGCAGGAGGAGAGCCTTTCTGCGCAAAGACTTTGAACGCCACGTACTGTGGTCCTGCCGCGTGCTGGAGTGGCTCACAGTGCCGAAGGGTCTGGCATGAGGTGGCCCCGGGCAGTGGCCTCCAGGAGCTATCGGGGAGGGGGCAAGTGAGTCAGCACAGAGCAGCAGCACACCCGCGCAGCACCCAGGCTGGCGGTTTTACTTCCGTCTTTCCAACTGCAGGTTTTCTCGTGTTGGGCTGCGGGAGGGCTGGTCTGCATTGTAAGCTTTTCAGTTCCTTAAGTGCAAAATGCATCTCATAAGTTTTGCTTTGAGAGTTTAGGCATCCTCTGGATACATAGGAAGCTGTGACTTGCAGGCCTACTTCTGCTCCCACGACGGGGAAGTGTGGTCTTAAAGCTGGCAGGGTTAAGCTTTCAGGAATCACTTCTTGGTTAGAGATGAGTTTGCTCTTGTTGGGTGGGGCAGGTGTTCACCCTCCACCTCGCGACTGATTTTTCTCTGGGAGAATGAGCTACAGGTGTCAAAACTAAGCATCAAAGCCCCAAGCATGCTGCTTTGCTTAGAAGTGTTTGGTGGAGAGGGAAGAAGGGAGAGACTGAGACTGACTTGGCTGCACGAATACACCTGTCTTTGTAGCTCTGTGGTCAACACAGGAGAGCCCAGACACCGGCTCCTCACCTGGCTCAGAGCTGGCTTCTTAGGATGTTCAACCCACGTGTGCTTCCGCCCCAGCCAGCGGCCGGAGGCTGAGCTGCAGTCTGGGTAACCCCATGTGATAACTGGCTTGCCTGGTCAAAGAGCACTTCTCAAAGCTCATACACATTACCCAGCAGGCAGGACCCCACTTTCAAACCCCCAGACCTGACCTCTTCAGAAACACGAGCCACAGGCTGTGGCTTGGTTCCTTTGTGTCCACTGAGCTGATATACACCCTAGGTGTGTGTTGCTTTACAAACCTACTCATGGTGGGAGGGAGGGGTTGGTATAGCATCCTGTCTTGCAGGCACGTGCCCAGTGTGTGCCCGTGGCCCTGGAACACTGGCACACCGGGACTGTGTCTGACAGGGGGCTGCAGCACTGAAGAAATGCCCCATGACACCACGAAGAAGGGAAGGATGGCCTCACGAAGCTCCCTGTGCCACGGGAAATCCATTACCACGGCGGCATTGCTTGCGAGAGTTGCCCATTTGCAGAGCCTCCCACCCTGGCTGGCCAGACTGTTGTCAGGTGTGTCCTTCCCTGATGCCCCATGACATGGCCATTGCAAGGCTGGAGGTGGCTATGGTGCATTTTTGCGTCCATGGCCTGTCGTGACCTAGAAAGGCTGAGCTGGGGGGAGGGGGAGGCTGTTGTCCAGCAAACATTTGTGGTAAACCCTGGCAAAGACCTTGGAACGCTCTAGCTGTGATGTCCAGGAAACACTCTGAAGCTCCTTCACCCATAGCACGACTTTGGTGAAAAGGGTCCTATTTTGCTGTTATCTCTGTGCCTTCTGCATAAAGGCCATAGCCTGGGTCCTAGGCGGCAGCTGCCAGGGCCTGGTGCTGGGACAGCCCTGGGCCTTCTTTGCAGAGCCCCCCTCCCAGGGGTTTCTCCCAACATTTTCCCCTTGCTCAGGAACTGTGACCTGCAGAAGCCTAGGGGCTCCTGTTGTACTGCCCGCTTAATAGTCTCACTGGCCAGCTAGGGCCTGCCCCAGGTGATGGGAAAAGGTCAGCGAGTAACCAGGAAGGGACAGTTAAAGATGCAGCCCCTCTCAGCTTCACTTGATGGGGAAGGCTTGTGAAACGCAGTTTTGACCGTGACAACTCTGAGCACATTCAGCTCTAGGAAGGAGTGGCAGGAGCCAGGAGGTGACAGTTTAATGGGATGGTAGGCCCTCCTGGGGGAGGCCAGGTCCACTGGCTTGGCCACTCGGGCTAGGGGTTAGCGCCAGTTCCCTGAAGGCGAAGTGGAGGCTGAGCTCAGCAACCCCTGTACATTTTTCTATGTGCTTGTGTCCAAGAATGAATTGTAAACTGTCTAGTGTTTGCATTAAACAAAATGGAACCCAACAGATCCATGTATTTGTGATGATGTAAAGACACTTCCTTTGTCCACTGATGCTGCTTTTTCCTAAAGTCACTTACGATGTGGTACTGACCTCACTCCTCTAGTCCCCAGCTAAAGGTATTGCTCTGGAAGGTCAAGAGTTCTTGCATCTGTCCCTGGACAAACAGCTTAGGCTCAGGGCACCTGGCAGACCTCCTTGTATGGGAGCTGTGGAGGGACATGCTCATGTCCCAGGGTTAGGGAGGGCAGAGGCAGAAGCAGAGCCCCGGGGAGGTTGCCCAGCACATCGAGTTCTCGTGCCTGCCCGCATCAGCTTCAAGAAGTCTGCAGGCAGGGCCCACAGCCCCACTGCGCGGTTCTCTTCAGAGCCATCCAGCAACCAGTATAGGCTCTAGCTGTGTGCAGCCATTGCAGCCAGAGAAAGCTAAGCAAGAGGGGGCCTGCACCATGCAATGAAGTGTATCCTTGTCGACTTGTGGCTTGGCTTGTGAACAGAGAAGGCAGCTGGTCGTGTCAGCCCTGAAACAAATGCTCGGACCCGGGGCAGTGATTAGGTCTCCACATTGGTGGTCCAGTAGCACCAAGCCCCCCATGTGATCTCCCCCTGCTGAAGCTGTCTATGGCCTCCAGCTCTGCTGGCACTGCTGGAGGTGGCTGCCTAGCAAGTGCCCTTCCGGGCCACCTCTGCCTGATTCTGGGCTCCCTCCCTCACGACAAAGGACCCCAGGCCCTGTTAGGGATCAGCTGCAGGGGGAGATGTGATCTCACCCAGGCTTTACAGCCCTGGAAAAACACAGGGGCTGGCAGATGTGGGGTGGCGCTGTGCCTGCACAAGGACGACCCAGTGCCCTGCCTCTTGGGTGGCCCCTGTCTTTTCCCCGAGTCTTCCGTACTTTCTCTAGGTTACCATCGAGGGGCATTTGATTTAAAATCAGTACTTACCCCCTGTCTCAGTCAACACACTCGTGACTTGGGATAAATCATGGACACTTTACTATGTGCCAAGTACAGGTACCATGTGAACAGAGTATGTTTTTATTACTGGTCTTTTGAAATACTTAAAAAAAAAAAAAAAACTCAGGAACAGAACCACAGAGCAAACATAGAATTTTAATTACAGATTAAAATACAGTGCATCAGATGAGGCAAATACAGTATTGTACCAGTTTTTAAAAACCTGAACCATAAAGGTTTTCCATTCTAGTGCACTTAAATAAAACGAATTGCTTAGTGAACAGAACTATGCTTCAAGTTTCAGAAACAGTTCTGTGCAAGAAATGTACAAAGGAAAACGATCTGTGCTCCTTCAACAGCTGAGTGGGGGCGCTGGGGATCCTGCTGGCAGAGCTGCCCGCATCTACCAGGTAAAGATGCGAACGGCCCTGGCTGGGCGTCGGCTTGCCACCCTCACCTGCACCAAGCCGCCCATTCGGCCTATTCAAAGTTCGAAGTGTTCTCCAGTCGCTGCAACTGTGCAATAGTCCTGGTGCAGCTGGAGGATTAAATACTTCCGGGGGTGGGGGTGGGGGGAGGAAATGGGAGCATTTTTTTAAACCAGTCTATCAACTCATAATCCAGTTTATTCAGGTATGTAAGGAGTATAAATCGAAGCTAATGTCAATTAAACTATGATGTAGAAATAAATTCCCCAGATAAAAATGGAGAAATGATTTTAGATTATCAAATTACCACCAAGAAACTTTTAAGATTTTAAAAGGTAGAGTTAGAGAGAGAGGGACAGAGATACTTTCTATCCACTGGCTCGCTCCTCAAATGGCCACAGTGGTCCGGCTGGGCTGATCCGAAGTCAGGAGCTTCTTCTGAGTCTTCCACGTGGAGTGCAGGGGGCCCAATCACTTGGGCCATCCTCTGCTGTATTTCCCAGGCGCAGTAGCAAGGAGCTAGATTGGAAGTGGAGCAGCCGGGACTCTAAGGGGAACCCTTATGGGACGCCAGCACTGCGGGCGGTGGCTTTACCCACTTCACCACAGTGCCAGCCCCCATTTCTGGTATCTTAAGGAACGATCGTTTTCTGTAAGTTATCAGAAGGTTAAGTTGTAAAAACCTCTATTCTCTAAGGTATTTGGCTGTAGAAAACCTTCAACATATTTTCAAAAATAAGGTCAGTACACAGGATGGTGCAGGTGCATCCAGCAATTGGACACAACCAGGTAACAGTGCAATGCAGCTGTCCCTGGTGTTGCCCCGTATCTGAGGCTCCAACTCTGCAGACCAGCTGACCTCCTACAGTGACAGGGCCCAGGTGTGCACTAGTTATCTGGGGCACGTCACAGAGGGGCTGAGAGTTGATGGTAGCTTCATTTCTGCAGGGACAGATGGAATCGCAGAGTTTGAAGTTGCTAAGTGAAGGTGCAAAACCAGAGCAGAGGCCTGATGGGCTGAGGCTGACGCTTAGGGAAAAACCATGGGAAGTTGTGCGTGCTTTATCCCAAAGGAAGCCACAGCACAGGGGTTGCTTGAAAATATGAACAGGCAGTCGTGGGAGTAAGCCGAGTGGAAGAGACCATGACCGAGATGAGAAGTATTTCACTTACCATACAACTGGGGAAAGTGCATTTGCTTTCATACAAGCCACAGGCATTGGGAATGAGGCAGCAGGATGCAAGGGTGGACGGCCTGGGGCCCTCAACAGATGGTGCTGCTCAAAGGGAGCCGGTGGGGGAGGCCAGCACCTGTGCAGAGCTGCCCGAGGACAGTGTGCCCAATTCATGCCATCCCTATCAATGCACCAGGACAGCCCGGGAAGGAAGTACCAGTTAGGTGAGGACCAACCTTGGTTCAAATGTACCACATAAAAGTTAGCATGAGGTTTGCTTGGAAAAGAATTTCTCACGTTGTAGAGTTAAGCAGCTATCTGCTCCCGTGACTACTACACTAAACATAAAAAAGGACGTAGGAAAATAAAGGCATGTTTCTCTTGTTTAAAAATACCTTATCTGTACATGACAGTAACTGGAACAGGAGGCCCCGTGGCATGAAGGTCACTAGAACAGATGGCAAGGGCCTGCCTCCCCTGCAAGTACTTCCCCATCACAGGTCTCAAGTGGCAGAGCTGAAGGCAGGCCTCTGGCCAGCAACGTGGTCTTTCCATGACTGGTGGTTGCATTTAACGAAGGCTGTGACTTGGAAGCAAAGGTCGGAGACTTCCTTAAACCTCCATCTGAGTTTCTCCCGAGCTGCCTAGACTAGGGGAAGGCGGGTCCCGGTGACCCCACTGACAGGAGGGCAACGGGCTGTGCACACAACGAATATACTCGCCGACAGTGGGAGCTGTCGCCTAGCCACACACATGGTCCCTGGGCCGAGTCTTAAGGTCACAGGCTCCAGGCAGGACAGCAACCGCCAGGCCATTTCCCATCAGACTGAGGTATGGACTGGAGTGGCTGCGTGGGAGGGTGACGAGCCCCGCTCCGATGACGACGAGACTGCACGCGTGGCCACCTCCCGCTGCAGGTCCTCCACTCGCTTCTGCAGCTCCGCCCTGACAGCCAGCAGCTCCTTGAGATTCTGGTGAATCGGCATCTGGCGGAGAGCAGACAGCACTGCGTTATTGGGCCGTTCTTACCTCGCTGCTCACACAGCTCGGCGCTGGAGTACTAGACTACTGGAGCATCCGCACACCCTGTGGGCCCAGCCTCTCAGGCCACCGGTCTTCCTGCCAAGCGTGCAGACTCCCGTCCCCCACAAGCCACCCTTCCCCAGCTCCTGTGTGCTAGGAAAAAAAAGCAGACGCACCAACTGTGTCCGCCAAGGCTACTGTGTGCAGAGTCAGAAGCCAGCAGTCCCCTGAGGATGGTCTCCAACCCAAGTGGAGGGCTCCAGCTGCTGCACAAAGCACTGCTGATGTGGACATCCCTCTCCCCTGGCTCCGTTATCTCTGCATTTGAGTTTTTATAAATAGTTCTGCTCACGGAACATACTTATGTTAAATCGGCACTTCCTACAAGTTGAAGTTGTAATCATTTCATCCATTGGAGGAAGGGCTCAGAGAAGCCTCTGGAGTGGGCAGCCATGCTGGGGGAACAGGCCGTTTGTTCAGCATCAATGCAGTGCCTCACCCCAATTATTTTTCATTTTATTGGAAAGATCTTCCATCTACTGGTTCACTCCCCAAATGCCTGCAACAGTCAAGGCTGGAGCCAGGAGTGTAGAACTCTTTCCAAGTCTCCCATGTGGGTGGCAGGGACCCAACTACTTGAGCCATCTGCTGCACATTAGCAGGAAGCTGGAACTGGGAAGAGAGCCAGGCCTCAGACCAAGGCACACCAATAAGGCATGTGAGTGGTCCAAGTACTTCTCTTAAACCCAGTGATGGGTGGTGCTGTGTATGTGTGATGTTCTTCCCCTGGGGTATACGGGCTACCCAGGCCCACTACTGCAGGTACAGGATCCAGCTTACCCCTTGTGAAGCTCTGAAGCTCTCAGGCTGGGCCTGAGACCAACCAAGGAGGTAGCTCACCAGCTGAGGGGTGAAGGATGTTATGGGGGTGAGCGAGATCTGAGGAGTTCCCACTGCCTGCCCGACTAGGCCTGGCCCTGCTTTCCCACAGGCACAGTTGGTACACACAGCAGCTAGTACACAGAGGTACACACAGCAGCTACAAGACTGAGTCTTAAGCCTGGGGCAGACCATGTGACTCCCCACTTAGACCAGCGTCATCTTGCCCCTACCCTGGAACTAACATCTTGACGTCGGACTCCAGGCCTGGTCTGGCTCCAGCCTGCCTGGGGCTCATCTCTCACCAGGTCTTGCCTCCTCTCCCTCAGATTCTGAGCTGTAGCATCATGGTGCCAGTGGTATACAGCCTTCCTGGAGTGCTGACAGAAGATAGCCACATGCCTCCAGTATAATGGGGTGCCCAGGAACCAGCACTGAGGAGGCTAAGAACTCCCCACTTTGCTGTCCCCTCCCTTCTTCCTGTGGTCTGCCAGTGTCAGGGCCTGATGGCGAAGGCTGACCCCAGAGACCACTGTGAGGAAGTAACAGTTCTCCAGTCCTTTGGGCCTTTTTGGTGTCTTCCCCTGTCTGTTGGGACCACTTGATTGCAGTCAAATGGAGGAAGGCTTTGCGATCAAGCTGTTAATATATATGCAGTCTCACACCCAGGGCTGCTCACATGCACTGCTTACGTCTTCGGGTAGCTTTCTGCATCCTTGCTCATTTTCATTTGCAATCAATCAAAAGCATTCCTGAAGGACTAGGAAACCCTGAAGCTTGAATATAGTATTATGCTAGAGAAAACTCCCACCTGAGAGCCAAAGTAGTCCCATGGGTGTTAGCGCATATAAGACACAGTCGGGAGTGGGGGACATAGGATGCCCACTGGGCTCTCTGGTCCCAGGAACAGCTCTCAGCCAGTCTAGCAGCCGTCTCAGAGAAGAGTCCCAACAGACTTGCTCCTCCTGTACTTCCTCCTCCTCTTCCTTGGTCCCATCGCTGGACCCCACCCCAGCCTGCCTCCTGTGCCTCCTTCCCATCCACCTAGTGTGGCCAAAGTGAGCTTTCTAAAACATAGGAAGTTCTTCATGGAAACCCAGCCCAGACTCCAACCCAGCCACCAACGTCAGCAAGGCTCAACACACTCAGTGCTCAGTACCATGGAACTGGCCAATGTGTACTTGTTGCATTTAGGAGAAAAAGCTGTGGCCCATGGATGGTTCGTTTTCCCTTCTGTGTCCAGGGGCTAGGGAGAATGTGAAAAGCTCTACCACCCTCTGAGCACTGGGCTAGGTAGCTGTCTTGGATTCATGTCTCTCTCACAAGCCCTGTGAGGTCTAAGGCTCAGGACCTTGTCTCATGTCGCCATTAGAAACAGCATGTGCATCCTTTTATGGCTGTGGGCACCAGGTGGCAAGATCTTGGGCAGTCAGAACCAGCCTGCACTTGAGAACGGATCTGTGCAGTCAAGCCCGTTTTATGAAATCTTTGGTTCCTGCCTTCAGGATGGTTGCAAGGAACAGTAAGTAGGTGCTGTGCGGCTGGAGCCCGTAGCACCACCAGAGGGCGTGTGTGCAGCAGAAAGAATGACAGCCTAGGGACCCTGCATTCCTTCTCCACAACCACTGTGCCAAGAGAAGCCTATTTCCCCAGAGAAGCTTCTGTTCCTGGAGCAGCTCTCTTGGGTTTCCAATTACTGAAGAGCACTTGATAACTTTCTGCTTGGTTTACATACAGCAGTGACTGTCCCACAGGCCACTGCGTATCTTCCCTGTTCTTAAAACATGAAATACTAGCCAAGCTAGTATTGGAAGAACACCTTGGCCCAAATCCTATGTGGGATGGAAATACACAAGAGTGAGGAGGAAGCTGCTCGAAGGGGCACGCTGATTCTAGTGACTGGAAAGAAGGCTCCCGGGGCCTCTGTGGTTATTCAGGTCTGGAGCCCAGACTCCCCTGAAGGGATGGCAGTACCGCTGCACTAAAAACTCCTTTGGGGCTTTAAGGAGCCACCCGTGGGATGGAGGAGAGGAGAGGGCAAAGGCAGGTGAGGCCCAGCCCTGGGAAGACAAGAACTAAGCTCCGTGAACACAGAGTGGTTCTGGCACGTGAAATCCTAAGGCTAGCAGGGCCAACTCAGAGGGTCCAGAGGAGAAAAGCACTGTTGCAGGTGATACTGCATGGAATGAAACGGGAAGGAGGAAGCAAGTGCTAGAGAGCAGACGATCGGAAAGCAGCTGCTTGAGGTGGCAGGGCGTGCTTCTCAGGTAGAGCCAGCAGCCAAAGCTGCAGGAGAGCTTTCCGGCTGTGCAGGACAGTAAAGTGGCTGTGCCAGGCGATGGAAGAGGCAAGTGAAGAGGTCAGCCTTTCCCTTGGTGGGTGGGAGAGGCCTGAGAGCACAGGCAGGTTTCCAGCTCCTTGGCAATGCACTCCTGGTGGATTACTGGTTAAACTTAAAAAGTCTCAGCAGAAAGTGATCTGTCCACACAAGTCAGGGTTACCTCCACCTGTCCTTTCCCTCCCCAGAGCCACCTATACCCTGGCACCCATGAAAAGACTGGGAGAGAGGAACATAACTGAGGAAAAAGCAATGAAACAATAGACGCTTAGCTGGTAACGCCTGACTTTGCAGCCAGGGATCGGCCATGGAGCATGAAGGACAAACAGGTCCAGCTGCCTGGCCCTTGCTGGGGGATGTTCTCTAAGTTTCTTTTAATCTCAAAGTATAGCAGTGAAAAGTGTGCTTGGAAGGGGGAACTTCTCCTGTCACTCAGCACATGCCTTTTGTGTTACCACAGTCCGTAAACTGTAGCCTTGATGCATCTGGCACCAGCTTTTCCACCAACTAAACCTGTGCAATAGGTAGTACTAAGTACTGCTCCACCCACAACACCTCTCAGAGTAGTGTATATGTCTAAGAGCCAAACTAACAGGTGACACTTATGTACCTTCATCAGAAGAAGGTACTAAGATTAGTAACAGTAATCCAGCAAAAGGCATCGAAACTGCTAGAACACCAATGCAAAAGATTCAGCACTGGCAGGCAACAGCAGAAGACCTTCAGTATAATACCACGTTTACCTGGAAAGAAACACAGGCTTCTCTGAGAAGAAAAACAAGAAACATACCTGTGGTCTCATCCGTGGATTCCATCGTACATAATAGTTGACCCATAATTCCAAGTGACTCAGGCTAGCAACAGGATATAACACATGGTTTTCATAATTCACAAAGAAGGGATTAGAAAATTCATCTAGCTGGCTATTGATATAAGACCATAAAGAAATAGTCTTCGTGTATATATCCTGAAAAACAAAACAAAAAAAGTACATTGCTTCAAATCCTCAAAAGTTAGTATTACACAGATAAAAGAACTTGAATAATAAAGTAAATTCGAACACTGAGAAGTTTATGAACATCTAAGTCCCACTCTCCTGCCAGTAGGGTCTTATGCTGGGAACAATACAGAAATACACTTGGTTTTGCCCTGGAAATAGAAATTGCTGCAGATGGACAACCCATGACAACTGTGTCTGTGGGAAAGCAGAATGAGAAGTTTCTAACAAGCACAGGATGATAAGCCCATCGACAATCAATATTTAGGCTGGTTTGCAGTTTGCTTTTTGTGACCCTTAACATTAGGAATGTGGGCAAAATCAACAGTGAAGGTTTCTTAAACTGGAAAATCTTGATATCTGGAGAAAAATGTGGCAGCAGGCTACAGCAGCTTTACAGATGGAAAATATCAGTGAAGACACCCAAAACTGCAGGGCAGGTAAGCAATAACCAATGCATATACCATGATGTAAAAGTCCAATGAGACAGTGCTGAGGCCAAGGGAATGTTCCACCATTTCACTCAAGGCTGCTTGTTTCCCACAAATTATCTAAACACAGGACCATCCCATTATGACCATTTCAATTTTTTTAAACATTGTATTTGTAAAGGAAACATCAACAAAAATACAAGGGATCCAGAATAGCCAAAATAATAGTGTAACAGAGCAAAGTAGGAGGACTCACACTTTGCACTGTCAAAATGTACTACAAAACTATAGTAACGGATACCAGTGGTGCTGGTCTAAGGATGGACATGTAGGTCAACAGACTAGAACAGAGAGAACAAAAATGAACTCGCATATTTTGGCCAACTGATTTTCAATGGGGGGAGGATGGACAAGAAAATTCAATGGGGGAAAAGATATTCTTTCCAATAAGTGCTGCTGGGACAGCTACATAGCCAACATAGAACAAAGTTGGACCATTTTCCACACAGCGTATACAAACATTAATTCAAAATGAATCACAGACCTAAATGTAACCCTTAACACCATAAAACTCTCGGAAGGAAATACAGGACCAGGGCCAGCTCTGTGGCAAAGTGGGTAAAGCCACTACCTGCAGTGCTAGCATCCCATATAGGTACCGGTTTGAGTCCTGGCTGCTCCTCTTTCGATCCAGCTCTCTGCTATGGCCTGGGAAAGCAGTGGATGATGGCCCAAGTCCTTGGGCCCCTGTACCCATGTGGGAGACCCAGAAGAAGCTGCTGGCTCCTGGTTTTGGATCTGCTCAGTTTTGGCCATTGGCGAGTGAGCCAGTGGATGAAAACCTCTCTGTTACTCTGCCTCTAACTCTGCCTTTCAAATAAATTTTAAAAAAGAAATATAGGACCAAACCTTTGTGCTCTTGGATTCAGCAATGGTTTCTTAGATTTGCTACCAAAAGCACAAGCAATAGAAGAAAAATGATACTTTATCAGTGTCTTCTGAAACAAAAAATGTAATTCTATCAAGACTGGAAAGTAACCCACAGAATGGGAACAAATTCTACAAATCATATCTTATAAGGGACTTGTATATATAATGAATGTATAAAAGAACTCTTACAACTAAACAAAAAAGATAATGATCTAATTAAAACAGGGGCAGGAGCAGGCCTTTGGCCTAGCTGTGAACACACTGATCAGATACGCACATCCCACATCATAGTGCTTGGGTTTGAGTCCTAGATCTCCCAGTTCCAGCTTCTGCTAATGCACACCTTGGGAGGTGGCAGTTGATGGCTCAAACACTTGGGTCCCTGCCACCTACATCAGAAACCTGGACCAACTTTCTGGTTCTGGCTTCAAGTTGACCCAACCCCTAAGTGTTGAGAACTGTGGGAGCAGTCAACCAGTGGATGGAGCTCTGTCTTTTCTCCCTCTCTGCTTCTCAAAATAAATTTTAAAAAAATCTAAACAGGAAAAGGGAGTGGGCATTTGGCATAGCAGTTAAGAGGCAGCTTGGGATGCTTTCAACCCATACTGGAAGGCCCAGGTTCAAGTCGCGGCTCTGCTTCCAATTTATCTTCCTGCTAACATGCACCCTTTGAGGCAGCAAGCAATATCTCAAGTAGCTATACCCCTGCCACCTATGTGGGAGGCCTGGATTGACTTCTGGGCTCTTGGCTTAAGCTTGGCCTGGTCCTAACTGTTGTGGATATTTGGAGAGTGAAGTAGTAGAAGATCTGTCTCATTCCATCTCTGTATCTCTTTTTTTCAAATAAATGAAAATAGACAAAGGACCTGGACATTTTTCCACAGAAGATATGCAAATGGCCAATAAGTATATTAAAAGATGTTCAACATTAGCAGTCACTAGGGAAATGCAAAATAAAACCACAATATACCACTTCCTACTCACTAGGATGGTTACAATGTTTTTAAAAAGGAAAATAATGTTGGTGAAATGTGAAAAAATTTGAACCCTAAGAATGTTGCTGGGGGGATGTGAAATGGGGCAACTACTTTGGGACACAATCTGGTGGTTCTTCAATAGGATTAAACAGTTATAATATGACCCTGAAATTGTATTCTTAGGTATATAGCCAAGAGAAACAAAAGTGTATGTCCACATACAAACTTGTACACAGATGTTTATAGCAGTAGAAACAACCAAATTTCTATCAACTGATGAATGGCTAAACAAAACGTGGTCTATCCATGCAATGGACTATTGCTCAACCATACCAAACAATGCACTGCTGGTACACGGATGAATGCTGAAAACACACTGCTAAGTGAAGGATGTCAGGCCATTGGATTCCATTTCTATAAAATTTCCAGAATAGGCAAATCCATAGAGACACAAAGCAATTGGAGATTCCCAGGGGTTCTTGGGAGAGGCAAAATGGGGAGTGACTGCTAACAGGTATACGGTTTCTTTCTGGTATGTAGTTATTAGTGATGGTGGTTACACAATCTAAGCATACTAAAACCACTGAATTGTATGCACTAAATGAGTGCATTTTATGGTATATAAAGTATATCAAGAAAGGTGATTGTTTTAAGAATACATTTTGCAACCCCTCCTCAAAAAAACTATATAAAAACATAGCTTAGATTCTATCTATAAACTTTAGCCTTTTTTTTGCTAGAAGTTTTTTTTGTTTAAGTGGCTTCACTGAGATGTAAGTCACACATCCGAAGATTCACTGTGTCAACATTTTTTCCTTACTAAGAAGTTAACAGGGCCCCATCACACTGGGTCTTCAGGAGTATGGATCTTGTCCTAAACACAGTGGTAACAGGGAGAAGCACTGATGAGATCTCAGTTGGAGGCTGCTGGCTCTGGCTGCTGTGTTTAGAATGGACTGCTGAATGTCAGAGATGAAGCAAGGAAGCCCTGTCCTGGGCATCTACCTTGGGCCAGGTGTGAAATGATAGGGGCTTGAGCAAGGCTTGTAGCTGTGAGGCAGTTAAGAAAGGGCCAGATTAAGAATATATTTGGGGGGCCGGCACCATGGCTCACTTGGGTAATTCTCCGCCTGTGGCACCAGCATCCCATATGGGCGCCGGATTCTGTCCCGGGTGCTCCTCTTCCAGTCCAGCTCTCTGCTGTGGCCCGGGAGGGCAGTGGAGGATGGCCCAGGTACTTGGGCCCTGCACCTGCATGGGAGACCAGGAGGAAGCACCTGGCTCCTGGCTTCGGATCGGCGCAGTGCCTGCCGTAGTGGCCATCTTGGGGGGTGAACCAACGGAAGGAAGACCTTTTTCTCTGTCTATAACTCTACCTGTCGAATAAATAAATAAATAAAAAGAATATATTTGGGGGACAGGGTAAGCAGTGTTTGCTGAAGGACTGGATGTGGCAGCCGCGGTAAGGCAAGGAAGGCAGTGAAGGTGACACTGTGTATCTGGCCCAGCATCTGGATGGCCAGGGCTGTCTTTTGCTGAGATGCAGAAGACTGGGAGAGGAGCAGGGAACTGACATTTGGAGTCCATACCGTAAAAGTTTGTTTCATACACAAAATGACTGAACATATTGTATAAAATTACTTTCAGGCTATGTGTATAAGCTGTAAATGAAGAAACATAGATGAATTTCATGTTTAGACTTAAGTCCTATCCTCAAGAGATCTCATTATGTATGGGCAAATATTCCTTTGAAATCTGAAACTTCCAGTCCCAAATATTTTAGATAAGGGATACTCACCCTGCAATACACTTACCTCTTTGAATCGTTGCTGTTCACAGTTGCACAGAAAGGTCCCAAAGAGACAGCTATAAAGGTGATCCAAAATTGTAATCAAGAATAGTTCATTAAACTCAAATGCTGAAGGAAACTGAAATGGAAAGAAAAATAAGGTGTGAAGTCCCATTTCTAAAACAAAGCAATGTTACTTTTTTTGTGAAAGACAGATAAACTTAAGCTTGGAATATGCTCAAAGATGAAAACGACTTAGTTTCTGTGATTTCAAGTCCGAGCTTATAGATCTGGCTAAGAAATAACAATAAGCAACATAATGTGTTGTGTTCTCTAATGCCTAAAAAAAGTACATGCAGCTACCACTTCTTGTCATGATGGTCAGAGACCAGATTAATTCTTCTGCCAGACATTGCAACAGGCAGCACAGAACTGCGACCTTGACAGAAGAGAAACAAAGGAGTCCTACCATTGTCACAGCCTCCCACCTGGAGTCACGTTCTGGGCCACAGAGCAGGGAGAAGGGATTCCAGGTATTACATAATGCCAAAAGTGACCAAGAAGAAATAGAAGATCTAAACAGCTCTGCATGTAGCAAAGAAACAACTCACATCCCCAAACCTTATCAGTATATAAGGAAACTGAACTTGGCAGTAATATGAAAAGGATAATACAACATGACCAAATGGAATTATCTCAAGAATACAAAGCTGGCTTGAAAATCAATGCTACAAAAGAATCAATTACTATAACTCACCATATTAAAGAGCAAAGAAGAAAAACCACATGATCATCTCAACTGTTTTAGGTAATTCTTAATGGACTTTTGCAGAATTCCAATGAAGACTATTTCATTGCCAGCAGGTTCTAGCCAGTAGCTGGCATTATCAGCCATGACACAATCTGGAATTGATAACAATGATCCTAACAGCAAACATATATACTGGGTGCCTATCATATGCCAGAATTGTAATTTAAAAACGGAGTAAAATGTCATCGCCTATGGAATAAAAAAAAGCCGACTAGAACAAAACCAAATGAACCTACCTAGCATTTTTTTCCAATCGGCATGGCGTTTACATGGCATAGTGATCGATACTTATATCACCAGAGTGACAATCAGAATGACTGATAGACAAATTTATTCTTCAGCCTAATCTTACTACTTGATTAAATTAGTGACAGACTTTCAACTAGAAGCAACAGTTAACCCAAAGACTGTTATTTTCCTCACCAGGCAGTTACTTGGTTTCCTGGGATTAAGACTTGCCCCTCAAGGCCGACACTGTGCCTCAGTGGGTTAATGCCCTGGCCTGAAGCGCCAGCATCCCAAATGGGCACCGGTTCGAGACCCGGCTGCCCACTTCTGATCCAGCTCTCTGCTATGACCTGGGAAAGCAGTAGAAGATGGCCCAAGTCCTTGGGCCCCTGCACCCATGTGGGAGACCCGGAAGAAGCTCTTGGCTTCGGATCGGCACAGCTCTGGCTGTTGCGGCCAATTGGGGAGTGAACCATCGGATGGAAAACTCTTTCCTTCTCTCCCCTCTGGCTCTCCTCTCTCTGTGTAACCCTGACTTTCAAATAAATTAATCTTAAAAAAAAAAAAAGACTTGCCCCTCCCTCCATCTTAAGGATTGCTCTCATAGAAATATATACTCTCTCCTAAGGCATTCCATCAGAATATTACTTCTGCAGACACCTCTGGAAATAGCTGTGGTGGTTGGTCTTGTTCTTAGCTGAACGACATCAAGGTCATTTGTCTGGCTGAAATGCGCTGATAGCCACTCCTTTCCTGGAGCCTTTAATGCTATCCCCCACAACTCCAACTGCGGCCTCATATTCCAAACGGCTATCTTTTAAAAGGCCAAGCACACTATGTCCACTTTCCCCCAGCATTTCTCTATGCTAATTATATCCTATTCATAAATTATTGATACCACAGAATTTATAAATTTTAAGCAAATCTGACACATCTATGTATATTGAAGTCTTATTAAATCAAGGACATAAAGATCTAGGGTTTTTTGTCCTACACTTTATTTTTAAATATTTAAAAGGAAACATTTACTAATATGTCAGTGAATTATTGACCCTTTAAAAAGCCATATGAGGGGCTGGCGCTGTGGCGCAGCAGGTTAACACCCTGACCTGAAGTGCTGGCATCCCATGTGGGCGCTGGTTCGAGACCGGCTGCTCTACTTCCAATCCAGCTCTCTGCTATGGCCTGGGAAAGCAGCAGAAGATGGCCCAAGCCCTTGGGCCCCTGCATCCGCATGGGAGACCTGGAAGAAGCTCCTGGCTTCAGATAGGTTCAGCCCCGGCTGTTGGGGCCAATTGGGGAGTGAACCATCAGATGGAAGACCTCTCTCTCTCTCTCTCTGTGTAACTCTGACCTTCAAATAAATAAATAAATAAATAAATCTTAAAAAAAAAAAGCCATACAAGTTCTGTAAGTCTGAATATTGGCATTCCCCAAAAGTTTCTATGTTGATATCCTAACCCCCAAAGGATACTATCAGGAGGTGGAACCTTTGGGAGGCAATCAGGTCATGAAGATGGGAGCTCTCATGAATGGGATTAGTGCCCTTATGAAAAAGGCCCAAGAGAATCCCCTTATTCCTTTTGCCATATGAGATTATAGTGAGGAGATGGCTATCTACGTACCAAGGAGCAAGGCCCTCACCACCAAACACTGAATCTGCCGGCATCTTGATCTTGGACTACCCAACCTTAAGAACTGTGAGAAATACATTTCCGTTGTTTATAAGCCACCAAGGTATGGTCTTTTGTCACAGCAGACTGAACAGACTAAGGTGAATGAGTAATTCATCCCTAGCCCCGAGCCTGCCTCTGGATTGGTGAATTTGGGCTGGTGTAGTGCCTTATTCTGGGTGACTGAGTCAGAGGTGTGGGAGGTCCACATGGGCAGTACTCACTGGAAGCACATCAACACCCACAAAAGCTGGAAAACAAAGGCCCCATCTATTCATGTGTAGTCCTGACTGCCATTCATGCTCAACTCGGAAAACGACTCATTAGAGGAAGCAATAGCTGCTAGAGTAATTGTAAATAAAGGACTGAGTCTCTGCTGCTTGCAGTAGCCTCTTGTTCTGGAAACTATACCATTTGCCTAAAAAGTAGAGTTTCAAACACTCCAGAGTCATCTATGTTACAATTTTATATTTCTAGAGTAACAAAAATACTATTGAGTAGTAAACATATCCAAAATAGTAGAGTCTATTAGACTATGAGTATCATAAAATATCTGAGAGTCTTGCCTAGATTATTTCAATGATTTTTCCCTTCTTTTCCTATCACTTTGTCCACATACAGACTAGTTCATTATATTCTGAGAGTTCTGCTAAGTTTACACTCAATTAGCTTACTTGATTTAGCAGTAGGAAACTAAAACTAAGTTCATCCTGTTATATAAATGCACCTTTTACTAACCTGCATATCTTACTCACTTGTGAATTAATTGATGGAGACTGCCCATCGATGCTTCTAATGGGTTAACAAGGTTATTTTTAAAATACATTAATTATACACACACTTCATGGACAGAATCTTAGCTGTGAGCGGCGGCCAAAATCTTCTAATCTAAACTCCTTATTATTTTTCTTAAAATCCAATAAGCAGGCCAGTATTATAGTATAGCAGGTAAAGTTGCCATCTGTGATGCTGGCATCCCATGTGAGCACCAGTTCGTGTCCTGGCTGCTTCATTTCCAATCCAGCTCCCTGCTAATGTGCCTGGGAAAGCAGCAGAAAATGACCCAAGTCCTTAGGCCCCTGCACCCACGTGGGAGACCCAGAAGAAGCTCCTGGTTTTGGACCAGCTCAGCTCTGGCCATTGCGGCCATTTGGGGAGTGAGCCAACTGTTGGAAGGTCATTCTCATTCTCGTATTCATTCACTCTCTCTCTCCCTGCCCCATGTATGCTTCCCTCTCTAACTCTGCCTTTCAAATAGATAGATAGATAGATAGATAGATAGATAGATAGATAGATAGATGAATAAATAAATCTTTTTAAAAGATTAAACAGGAGAATAGGCACTAACCAATGCGAACAATGAAAATCACTTTGAAGATCTTAAAATACACCCATACCCACACCCACACACCCCTAGGTATTTGGAAGGAAGAACACACTTCACAACCATAAAAATGGTACTTACTCCTTTAGAGGCACTAGAATTATTTTTTGTGTACCAACTTTTCATACAATTTTTCTAAGATGGGTTTCATGCTTTCTTAACCTGAATTTAACAGTAATTAATTTTGATATTGGTTCATCATCAATACAAATCGCACTATAAAACACTTAAGTCCTCTGGGCAGCCTCTATGCCTTTTGGGCATGTGTTTGCTGTTACCTGTCACTTGTGTCATCTCCATGCCTCCCTTTGAGACCAACCCTCTTACTGTAGTACTCTACCTAACAGCTACTTTCACTCTGTTGGACCTGGCACTCAGACCATGTTGATACCAGACCTGAAGGAGTCAGTTCCAGGTGTCCCCTGGCAGCTTGTCAGAAATGCAGCAGTGCAGGCCCTGTCCTGACCCACTGACTCAAACTCTGCCTCTCACCAAGAAGCTGGGGGAACTTGTGGGTTCTCCGGCATTGAACAGAGTGGATCTAGGGCAGTGGTCTCAAATTGGAGCATGCTTCAGAAGCCCCTGGCAGGCTTGTGAAGCCACTGTGCTCGGCCCCTCTCCTACAGCTTGAGCAGGCCTGCAGCAGGGCCAGCCTGAAACTGGCATCTCTAACAAGTCCTAGGGGATGCTGAGGCTGCCAGTCCTTGTACCACATGTGGAACTACCAGTCTGGACCTCTGGTCCTCAGGCTCATTTGCATATCTCAGTCACTTGGGCCTGCCCCGGATGTACCAGAGAAGATACTACAGACATTCCCAGGTGCTGGCAGTGGGCACTTAAGGTGGAGATTCCATCACTTTGGCTCCTCCTTAGGGCAGAGCTGCTGGGGAGCTGTCCATGCTGAGATCAAGACAGGCAGCACAGGCAGTGGGGTGATTTTCAACTTTCTTTCACCCCAACGCACAACTCTCATCAGTAACAGTAACTCAGTGGGGAATTGGCTGGTATTTCACAACTTTCAGATAGATATTGTTGCAGAAGGGCCCAGAGTGACTGCGATAGCCTGCCAGGAAGATCAGTCTGGAGTATCCTGGCTTCTGACAGAATCCCTGCAGGTCACCAGCAGCTCTGTGGCTGATTCCCTTTTCTGTGACCAAAGCAGCCAAGGCCAGAGACTCTGGCAGAAGAATTGGATGGAGAGAATCCAGACCCTGCTCCTCTGTTCCCTAACTTACCCTTTTTCTTGCAGCCCCATTCTCAGGCTGGATAGGAGGCCTTGAGAGAACTACTCTCTCTTATGCTTCCTCCCTCCCTTTCTCTGCTTCCAACACCATTTCTCTAGCATGCTTTCATATTAAGAGGCTAAGACCCCAAATGCAGATTTAGATGTTGGACACATGGAAAAGACAGTGTTAGCTCTGTGGACTGCTCTGAACTCAAGCCATTGGGCCTGACTAACTCAGAGAAGGGGATCCCTGCAAACCTCCCTTGCTTACCTGGGCCCTGTGCATTGGAACTGGAGAACTAAGCACTAGCTAATGACAAAATACTACAAAGCTTCCTATCTTCGATTGGTTTTGGGATATGCACTTCCCTCAGTGACTCTGGGACAGGAGGGGCTGTGGCCCAGAGCAGAAAGTAGAGGTTCCTAGAATCCCTTGTCTAGTCCTATTTACTAGCATTTCAGCCACACCCCCATTTCTAACATGTGTCCAAGTCTGATATTAGCTATACACCAGGAGACTGTGTTTCCTTAACCTAACCAAATAGAAGTACTAGCGGCAGAACTAATAAAGAGTGGGGGCCTTGGTTCGTACAGTGGGTGGACAAGAGGAGTGACAAAAAACATTTGCAGAAGAAAAGTACCTTTTGGTGTTAAATCGGTTGTTTGCAATTTTCTGCTTATATTTTTAAGTGTACCAGAATAAAACCATATTAAATAACTGAAAGGGTCATATTTGGCACACACATTCATTCTGGATGCAACAGCAATGAAAGTATATCTGATCTTCAACTCTATGATACATTTGAATCAAACACTAGATACAAGTCAAAAACATACTTGAAATCTCTCACCTGTCTTGTCATTTGCCACACACAATCAATAAACTGAAGAAATATAGGTGATCTGTCAGCATCTGCATGGTTGTCATCACCATGGCCTACTCGCTGAAAAGAAACAAAATGTTAAATATTTTCATGGATGCTGTGGTACTTTTTATTTAAAAAAACATTTATTTTATTTATTTGAAAGACAGAATCACAGAGAGAGGCAGCGAGAGGTCTTCCATCAGGTGGTTCACTCCCTAAATGGCCTCAAGGGCTGGAGCTGAACTGATCCGAAGCCAGGAGTCAGGAGATTCTTCCAGATCTCCCATGTGGTTGCAGGGGTCCAAGGACTTGGGCCATCCTCTGCTGCTTTCCCAGGCACATTAGCAAGATCTGGATCAGAAGTGGAGCAGCCAGAACTCAAAACAGGTGCCCATATGGGATGCTAGCACTGTAGGCCAGGGCTTTAACCCACTGTACCACAGTACCAGCAGCTATGGTAATTTTGAAAGTCAAATTAAACTTACTGGCAGCAAGAATCACGATTCAACAGGCGTAAAAGAATTCTTGGCATTATGGTAATGAAATCCAAGGCTATTCATCAAGGGGCGAGCATTTCTCTTAGTGGTTAAAATGCCCACATCTCACACCAGACTGCCTGAGTGCAAGTCCTGTCTCCACTCTTGATTCCAGTTTCCTGCTAATGAGCACCCTGAGAGACAGCAGGTGATGGCTCAAGTACCTGGGTCTCTGCCACCCATATGGGAGACCTGGATGGAGCTCCCAGCTTCTGGCTTCAGCGTGGTCCAGCCTAGATTGTTGCAGACATTTGGGGAGGTAATTAGTGAATGAGAGAGATCTCTGTCTGTCTCTTCCCCCCACCTTCTTTCTCTACATATCAAATAAATAAATTTAAAATATTCTCTGAGGGGCTGGCATTGTGGCATAGCAGGTTAAGCTGCCGCCTGCAACACTGGCATCCCGTATGAATACAGGTTTGAGTATTAGCTGCTCTATTTCTGATCCGGCTCCTTGCTAATATGCCTGGAAAAGCAGCAGAAGGTGATCCAAGTGCTTGGGCCCTTGCCACCTATGTGGGAAACCCAGAAGCTGCTCCTGGCTCCTGGCTTTGGGCTTATCCAACTCTGGCTATTGCCATTATCTGGGGAGTGAACCAGTGGATGGAAGATCTCCTGGTCCCCCATCCCCTGTAACTCTGCTTTTCAAGCAAATAAATGCATCTTTAAAAAATATTTTCTGAATTAAACTGACTTTCCATTACTCTTTGGAATCAAAATTTCAGTTTATAAGTTGATTGTTTTATGATCCCTTTAATATAGCTGTTATCAAGAAATGATAAGGAACTCGTTAACAAACTTTTCAGTTCAAATAATGAGGTCAATACCAGCTACCACACCAAGTACATGTCATCACTGTGCAACTACCAATCAATGCCACACAATGCATATTATGAATGCCATTTTCTAAGCATATATAAAACAATTTTCTATTGTTCATAAATGTCAGGAAGTTTGATATTTAAATAATGACTAATCATTAGCAAGTTTTTTTTTTTTAGAAAACAAAATTCAAAAACATAAGAAAATTCCTCCAAACAAGCCCAATATAGCTAAGAACAAATTTAGCTAAGATTATAAAGCAACTTTACTGCATTTAAGAGTACTTTTTTTTTTAACTTTTATTTAATGAATATAAATTTCCAAAGTACGATTTATGGATTACAATGGCTTCCCCCCCATACCGTCCCTCCCACTCACAACCCTCCCCTTTCCCACTCCCTCTCCCCTTCCATTCACATCAAGATTCATTTTCGATTATCTTAATATACAGAAGATCAGCTTAGTATACATTAAGTAAGGATTTCAACAGTTTGCTCCCACACAGAAACATAAAGTGAAAAATAATAGATGATTTTTTTTAAATGATGATGAAATCAGATCAGACCTATTGTCATGTTTAATCCCAGTGAGAGTCAAGTTGGGAGTTGATAATTTCTTTCTTTTTTTTTTTTTTTTTACAGAGGATCAGTTTAGTATGCATTAAGTAAAGATTTCAACAGTTTGCACCCCCATAGAAACACAAAGTGAAATATATTGTTTGAGTACTCGTTATAGCATTAAATCTCAATGCACAGCACATTAAGGACAGAGATCCTACATGAGGAGTAAGTGCACAGTGACTCCTGTTGTTGACTTTACCAATTGACACTCCTTAGCAATCATTAGCAAGTTTTAGCCAATTCTAGTTGCCTGAAAGATCCCTAAATTCTTACTCTAGAAATAGTAATGAGGTAGAGTTCTTGTTTCAGACAGTCCAGCATATTTCATTTCTTATAAGATTTTAATAGGTTCATACTAAAATGGTAAGAGAATATCCTCAAACATATAAATAGAATTGCCAAAATCAATGAAAGTACCATAAGTAAAAAGCCAGCTAAATAATGAGCAGAGAAGTTTTAAATAATCTGCTAAGCAAAAGGATGAGAAAGAAAGAAAAAACATTATGAAGATATAAGGCAATCACCACACAGAGGAAAAATAATCTAAGAAACTGCCATATAGAAAGATGTAAAAACAAGATGGTCAAGTCAATGGAAACAGCTTAGAGTAACAGTGTGTTAGCATCTTTTTAAAAATGGACATCAGCCTTCATCTGTGCTGGATTTTTGGGGTTGGGCAGTTGCAAGGGTGAAAGGGTGGGGTCCTCTGGGGGCACTGCGGAGGTGGCACCACCACGTCTATCAACATTATCCAGTCTTCTCCACCCCCATTTTTTATCCCAATTAGAAACAGTGTGTTGCATTGTCTGGTAATTAATGTAATATGGGGGAAGGAAAAGGTTTTGGAATTGGAAAACCTGGGAGTAGAGGCCACTGTGCCATCATGAGCCTCCGTTTCTTAAACTGTAAACAGAGGGTGACTGTAAAACTGCTTTGTAAAATATAAAACTATATGTACAAAAATTCTGGTGAAATATACATGGCAGAAAATGTACCATTTTAACTACTTTTAAGTGCACAGTGCAGTGGCATTAAGTACATTCAAATAATCGTGTAACCATCATCACCATCCATCTCCACAACTTTTTCATCTTCCCAAACTGAAACTGTCTCAATTAACCACCAACTTGCCACACCCCTCTCCTCCCCCAGTCCCTTAGCAACCACCATTCCACTTTGTCAATGAATTTGACAATTTCTAGGTTCTTCAAAGTGGAAACATTTAATATTTATGCTTTTTGTGACTGGCTTATTTCACTTGGCATGTTTTCTATTGTATTTAAGATTAATTTATTTGAAAGGCAGAGTTACAGAGAGGAGGGGAGGGGGCAGAGGGGAGGGGGAGGAGGGAGATCTTCAATCCTCTGGTTCACTACCCAAATAGCCACAATGACTGGGGCTGGGCCAGCCCAAAGCCAGGAGCCTAGAACTCCATCTGGGTCTTGATGTGTGTCACAGGGGACCAAATACTTGGACCATTTTCTACTGCTTTCCTTGACGCAAGGGAGCTGGATCTTTCAAGTCTGGAACCAGTTGCTCATATGGGATGCTGGTATTTGCAGGCTGTGATACAGGCTTAACCAGCTGTATCACAATGCCAATCCCAAGCAAAATGTTTTCAAGGTTTATTCATGTCATAGCACATGTCAGAATTTCCTTTTACTGAATAATATCCACTGCATATACAGACCACAGTTCGTTGTTCTATTCATCTGTTGATGGATACTTGGGTTGATTTCACCTTTGGGCTATTGTGAATAATACTACCAACAACTATGGCTGTACAAATATGTTTGAGTCCTTGTTTGCACATCTTTTGGGTATACACCCGTAAGTGGAACTGCTAGATCATATGGTAATTTTTTTTTGAGAAATTACCATGCTATTTTTCATCAGTTGTATGCATTGCTTTATTTCTCCACTTCCCTTCTAGAAAATAATTTGTAGAACATGTTCTTCAGTATTTAAGGCAAAAGTTTCATACTGAGTTCACAATTTAGGATTCATTTTTTTCTTTTCCCAGACACCCACTGACCTTCTACAGTATGTAAAAGGCCTGGATCTCAGATTTCAGACATTTTCATGGTGTCTAATAGAGGAATAGTCCTTGACTACGCACCTGAGGTACCAAGACAAATGAGACACAGTACCCATGCTCAATGAGTAATTCATTTGCAGCCTAGGCAAAGGAGAAAAGACTTATACATACAAGGGTAAGAGTATCCAAAATCTTCTGAGCATACAATGGCTAGGGTGATGGCACAAATAAACAAGTGAACCAGTCTATAGGATAGGGTGGGAAAGGCAATGAGGAGGGACAGACAAATCAGTCACACAGGAGGTCTGGTGATGCTTGCTTCCTGGCTGAAAGTGAGAACACACAGTGGGAGATTGGTAGGCACTTGAAACAGGAGTATGGTGGCAGACACTAGAGGAGCCATGAGTAGCTGGGCAAAGATAAGGCCTGGGGGATGAGGCAAGGGGCAGAAGGTGAGAGATGAAGCTGGAGATGTATAATAGAGCCAGTTAGCCCAAGGGCTTCTAGTGTCACACTGAGGAACCACCCACAATCCTACAGGCCTCCGGACGGCACTGAGGGATTCCTACTGTAGAGTGACAGCATCGGATCTGTTTTCTGGAATGCTCCATCTGGATACAACAGGATGATGGAAGTGGATAGGTTGCAGAGATGCTACTTAGCAGATTGGCTAACAGAGATTACAAGGCCTAAATTAAGAGGGCATCAGTGGGGGCCAACACAGTGGTGCAGTGGTTTAAAGCCATGGCCTGCAGCGCTGGCATCACATACGGAGGCCAGTTTGAGTCCTGGCTGCTCTAATTCCAATCCAGCTCCCTGCTAACAGCCTGGGAAAAGCAGTGGACAATGGCCCAAGTGTTTGGGCCCTGCCACCCATGTGGGAGACCTGGAAGAAGCTCCTGGCTTCTGACTTTGGCCTGACCCAGTCCTGGCCATTGCTGCTATCTGGGGAGTGAACCAGCAGAAGGAAGATATCTCTCTCTCCCTCCTCCCACCCCTGTCTTTCTGTAACTCTTTCAAATAAATTAAATCTTTAAAAAAAATAAAGTTGGGTTGGCCGGCACTGTGGCTCACCAGGCTAATCCTCTGCCTGCAGCGCCGGCACCCCAGGTTCTAGTCCCGGTTGGGGCGCCGGATTCTGTCCCGGTTGCTCCTCTTCCAGTCCAGCTCTCTACTGTGGCCCAGGAAGGCAGTGGAGGATGGCCCAAGTCCTTGGGCTCTGTACCCGCATGGGAGACCAGAAGCACCTGGCTCCTGGCTTTGGATCAGTGCGGTGCGCCGGCCGCAGCGGCCATTGGGGGGGGGGTGAACCAATGGAAAAGGAAGACCTTTCTCTCTGTCTCTCTCTCTCACTGTCCAGTCTGTCAAAAAATAAAATAAAATAAAGTTGGGGGTAGGGGCTGAGATCACTAAGGGATTAAGCCTATAGAAAAGAGAAATGATCCAAAGATCGAACCCTGGGGCACCTCAATATTAAGAGGTTGAGGATATGAGGGCTCAGAAGAAGGAAGACAATCAAAAGGCTAGAGACCTACAAGCATAGAGGGAAAAGAAAATTCCAGAAGAAAAATCAACATCATCAAATGCTCAGGCAAGGGGATAGCATTGTAGCACAGCAGGTTAAGCTGTTGCCTGCGATGCCAGCATTCCATATGAGCACCAGTTCAAGTCCTAGCTTATCCAATTCCAATCTAACTCCTTAATGTACCTAGTTTGAAAGCAGAAAATGGCCTAAGTGCTTGAGACCCTGCCACCCATGTGGAAGACCTGGATGGAGTTCTAGGCTCCTGGCTTTGGCCTGGGCCAGTCTTGGCCATTGAAGCCCTTTGGGGAGTGGGCCAACAGTAGGAAGATCTCATTCTGTCTCTCCCTCCCACTAACTCTGCCTTTCAAATAAATAAATAAATCTTTTCAAAACAACACTCAGGAAAAACAAGAGGAGTAGGCAATGTGGCAGTTTTTGACAGCTGTCACAAAACCGGGTGTGTGGGTAGGGCATTGTAATGAGGAAGCCTTGGGTTGGGCCTTTGGCCTAGGGATGAAGCTACCAATTGGAATGCCCATAACCCTTCTCAGAACACCTGGGTTCAAGTCCGAGCTCCATTCCTGATTCTAGCTTCCCGCTAATGTACACTGTGAGGCAGCAGCAGATGACAGCTCAAGTAATTAGTTGGATCTTTACAAGCTCACGTGGAAGACCCAGATTGAGTTCCCAGCTGTCCACCAGCTTGTCCATTATGGGCATTGGAGAAAGGACTAAGTGATGGGAGTGCACTCTCCTCTTTCTCCCTTTCCCTGTCTCTCAAATAAATAACAACAACAAAAAATTAAAGATGCCTGGCTGAAGTGGGTCCAATATAGACCAGAGATAGAGTGACAGTGAATACATTTTTTTAAATTTATTTTATTTATTTGAAAGGCAGAGTTACAGGTTGAGGGAGTGGAGAGAAAGAGAGGTCTTCCACCTGCTGGTTCACTCCCCAGATGGCGGCAACAGTTGGGACTGGGTCAGGGTAAAGCCAGGAGCTTCTTCTGGGTCTCCCAAATGGGTGCAGGGGCCCAAGCACTTGGGTCATCTTCCACTGCTTAGCAGGGAGCTGGATTGGAAGTGGAGAAGCTGGACTTGAACTCGCATCCATATGGGATGCTGATGCTGCAGGTGGTGGTTTAACCTGCTGTGCTACAGCACTGGTCCCAGTGAATACATTCTTTAGGGTATATCAGCATGCTTCTTTTATTTTTTAGAAAGATTTTATTTATTTATTTGAAAGGTAGAGTTACAGAGAGCAAGGGGGAGAGAGAGGGGGAGAGGGAGAGGGAGAGAGAGGAGAGAGAGCGAGCAAGAGCGAGCAGTCTTCCATCCATTGGTTCACTCCCCAAATGGCTGCAATGGCCAGGGCTGGGCCAGGCCTAATCTAGGAGCCAGGAACTCCATCTGGGTCTCCCACATAGGTTGTGAGGCCTAACCATTTGGACCATCTTCTGTGTCTTTCCCAGACACATTAGCAGGGAGCTAGATTGAAAGTGGAGCAGCTATGACTTGCACAATTGCCCATATGGGATGCTGGCTGTGCAGGTGGCAGCTTAATCTGCTCACTACAATGATAGCCCCTGTCAGCATGTTTCTATCCCAGTGGGAAGGATCTAGAGAGAAAGGGAATGGAGGCAGGATAAAAAGGAGCACAGCAAATTTTATGAATTTTATGGAGGAAGAAGGCAAGAACTGGTCTGAGTTTGTTCACAGAAACTTAGGGGAAATAGGGACTCAAGTGGTTGGGTGGTGGCAGTCTTGAAACCACTGTTTAAATGTCATATCCAACCTAACTAGCTGTGTGACCTGGGACAGATAAGTTAAACTCATGAAAAGTCAATTCCTCTACCTGTCAATGATAGTCTTTACCTATCAGTATTAAACAAGATGATATATGTAATTGTGCTAGACACATATGATTCTTAGTGAATTGAAGCCATTATGAATCTTCTGGGCTTAGTAACTTCACTATGGTGAGCTCTAGTGCTAGCAAGGACAGAAGTAGAACACTGTGGGTACCCCCTGACACATGCAGCCCTGGTCAGTTCTGGTGTGTGCTGTCATCTTAACAGATAGGTTTTACCACTGCCCCTCTGCTAGAGGCCCACTGCCAGGTTTCTGTCCCCAGGGACATGTAATAATGGAGGAAAGATGGAGAATGTCCTGTTTTCAGAGCCTGTTTCATATTCTCTCCTCCTTGCTGAGCCTAGCCCTTACCTCATGAGGAAGAAACAAAGGAGTTCATTGTTGATGGTTAAAAATGACCACAAGAGCTAAGGTTTCTGTGTTAGATTTTTTATCACGACGATAAATACCTGACACAGGCTACTTATGAAGGAAAGAGGTTTATTTAGGCTCACAGTTTTGAAGGTTCACAGTCCAAGATCAGGCAGCCCTGTCTCTGGAATCTGATGAGGGTAGTGGAATGACAGAACATAGACAAAGAAAGGATCACAGGGTGATCCAGCAAGTGTCACAGGGCAGGAGGGAGGCAGGGAAGGATGGCTAAGCCAAACTCAGCTTTTATAATCAACCCTCTCAAGAACTACTTTTTGAGGGCATACCCCCAATGTTCTAGGGACCTCCCATTAGGCCCACATCCCAGGTGCCATAAGCAGATCAATCCTCTATCCTTAATCCATCAACCATTAACTTTAATCAATTAACCAGTAAGAAGACTTCAGGGATACCAACATGAATATCCAAACCATAACAAGTGGCTTGGCACTTACCAGGGTAAGTATTATCCTAAGCAACTGACACAAACTCATTCCCCACATAGCATTTCATTTCACAGAAGAGGAAACTAAGGTAAGGGAGATGAGGGATTGCATCCAAGTATCTGCTAATAGCTCCCTAAGGGCATGCAGCTCGCAGGCTAGAGAGCTGCCTTTATCCTACTGTGAAGGCCACTCCTTCCTGAGCTCTCTTCCTGTGAGTGCAAGCACAGCTGGTGCACATGGTACCCCTACAATGGAACCACTGAAGTCTGCACTGCCCATCCATTTATTCCTCACAATGCACTGACTGGGACTTGAGGAATATTCTAAGTCAATGCACAGTTCAGACAAATTCCCAACAGCTTAATGGCCTTCATGGACGAAGAACTAGCTGCCCTTTGAACTCACACACACATGGCAGAGCAACTGCCCTACCAGATAACTCAGCAATTCTACTTGTAGGTACATACACCCCCCTGCCCAAAATTGAAGAGAGGTTGTTGTGGGCTAAACTGTACCCTCCTAAATTTGAAGTCATCATCCTCAGTACCTCAGAATGTGACTATACTTGGTGATACAGCTTTTTAAGAGGTGATAAAGTTAAAAATGAGTTCATTAGAGTAAACTGTAACCCAATCTGACCTCATCCTTATCAGATGACAAAATTTGGACAGAGACACACTAGAAGTGCATGCACAGGGGAAAGACTTAGTGAAGAGGCAGCAAGAGGGCAGCCACCTACAAACCAAGGAGAGGCCACAACACTGCTTATACCTTGATTTCAGATTTCCAGTCTCAAGAACTGTGAGTAAATAAATTTGTTGTTTAAGTTATCCCGTGTCACTTTGATATGGCAAAACTGTATATACCAATGATCACAGCAGTATTAGTCACAATAGCCAAAAGGTGGAAAAAACCCAAGTGTCAACCAACAGATGAATGGATAAACAAAACGCAATATACACACACAAGAGAATACTAGTCAACCACAGAAAAGAATGAAAGTTTAATACACATTACAACATGGATGAACCTTGAAGACATTCTGCTTAGTGAATTAAGCCAGTCACAGAAGGACAAATATTGTATGATCCCATTTACAAAGGTACTTCAATTTTTTTGTGGAAAATGGAATTAAGAGAAGTTTATTTTGAAGTAGCATGCATAATTTTTTCATAATATGCATTTTCCATGAATTTTTTGAAAGACGCTTATATGGAAGGTACCTAGAATAGGAAAATTCATAGAGACAGAAAGTAGATTAGTGGTTGTTAGGGGCCAAAGAAGAAAACAGGGGGTATTTAATGAATATAGGGTTTCCTTCTAGGATAATGAAAGTATTTTGGAACTAGATGAAGATGATGATTATACAGTATTATAAATACACTAAAGGACAACGAATTCAGCGCTTTCAAATGGTTAGTTCTGTGTTAGATAAATTTTGCCTTCATTTTTTAAAAAAATGGCACACCCATATAAAAGCAGAAACAAAAACAAAACCCAAACACACACACACACACACACACACACACACATGTGCTACCAGTAACATGCAATGTTGAAGTCCATGGTATTCTACTATGGCAATTCAAGTCTGATACAGAGGAAAAAACCTGTTCATATATGTGTGTGCACGTTTGCTACCCATGATATGTACATGCATATTATAGAACAAAAATAATCAAGCACGAACCTCACCATCTCAACTTACCAGTGCAAACCGATGTCCAAAGCTTATCCATTCCTTTTCTATGAGAGCTTCAAACCCTTTAATAGTCCGGTAATAACTGTCCAACATCAGCATAGACAGGGACGTGAGCTGGGCCGTTCGGTCCCAACCATCGCTGCAATGCACCACCACAGAGGTTTTCCCAGACTCTATTTTATCAGCAATCCTTACTGCGCCAGCAAGAAGCATCTTCAGGAAAGAAGGCATGTTAGACCAGGCCACATTCTATCTTGATCATGGTATGAAATAATTATGGGAAGAACTTTGGAAGTTCTGGTCAATAAACCAAACAAGCAAACCATGCGATAAACTGAGAATCACTAGGAAACACCAGCATCACATTAAAAAAAAAAACTGACATCAAGAAAAACTATAGGTGCTGGTGTTGTGGCTGAGTTGGTAAAGCCACCACTTGTGATGCCAACATTCCATATGGGCACCAGTTCATGTCGTGGCTGCTCCATTTCTGATCCAGCTCCCTGCTATGGCCTGAGAAAGCAGCGGAAGATGGCCCAGGTTCCTGGGCCCCTGCACCCATGTGGGAGACCCAGAAGAAGCTCCTGGCTCCTCCTGGCTTTAGCCTGGTCCAGCCCTAGCCATTGCAGCCATTTGGAGAGTGAACTAGCAGATGGAAGATCTTTCTTTGTCTCTTCCTCTCTAACTCTTACAAATAAATAAATAAATATAAAAAGAAAAAAGAAAAAGAAACACTATAATAGTAAGGTCCTTTATTAAAGGGCTAAAAAGGTCGTTTTTTTAAAGATAGAATCTTTTTTAAGATTGATTTATTTGAAAGACAGTTACAGAGGGCAGAGAAAGAGAGAAAGAGAGAGAGAAAGAGAGGTCTTCCATCTGCTGGTTCACTCCTCAAATGTCTGCAATGGCCAGAGCTGGGCTGATCCAAAGCCAGGAGCCAGGAGCTTCTTCCGCGTCTCCCACGTGGGTATAGGGGCCCAAGCATCTGGGCCATCTTCTACTGCTTTCTCAGGTAATACATAGCAGAGAGCTGAGTCAGAAGCGGAGCACCAGGGACTCGAACTGGCACCCATATGGGATGCTGGCACTGCAGGTGGCGGCTTTATCCACTACGCCATAGCACTGGCCCCTACAAAGTTATTTAAAAACCTCATCTGAGGTAAGCATTATCTCCTTTTTACTATTTCACAAAAGCCTTCCCATAAATTCCACAGCTTGGATGCTGCCCGTGAAAACTCAGAAAGCTCATGTGAACAGCAAAGATGTACGTGTTTATGATGCTGAGAAACCATTTGGAGATATAGGTATTCAGGGCTTAGTTGCAAAGAAGTCCAAACCAGAAAGCACATCATATAAAAGACTGAACCTCTTTTACCCTTATATATTCCAACCAATGTGTCCCATCTATGTTGGAGAGCCACCGGGCCTCATCGATGGAAGGGTATACGATCTCCTTTAATTTACGTAGTGACTCTCTCATCACGTGAATGTTGTGGATCTCCAAGAACATGAGTTCTGCATTTGGGTAAGCACTTTCACTCTCATAGCCTCCGCCCTTCGCCTGTGAAAACAAAAGATCGACATCACTTCATCTGGAATGAACTTTTCTATTACTTCTAGTGCTACCAGGTATAGACCACTAAAGAAGCAACTCATCTTTTAATAAATTTCCTATATTCTTGTGTAAGGTTCCTAGGGCAGTCAGAACCCAGTATCATAAATTAGGTGGCTTATGACAAGAGAAATCTATTCTCTTCCTGTTCTGGAGGCTAAAAGTCTGAAATTAAGGTGTTGGAAGTGCCAGACTCCCTCAGAAGCCTCTAGGGGAAGATTTCTCCTTGGCTCTCCGAGTTTCTGGACATTCCTGGCTTACAGATACTCTAACTTTTGCTTCCATTTCCAACTGGCTCTCTCCTCTCTGCTTGTGTTTCAGTTTCTTCTCTTCTTATAAGGACATCTATCCTCCTAATTTAGTATGATCTCATCTTAACTTGAAAACATTTACAAAGACCCTAATAAGTCACATTCAGAAGTACTAGGAGCAGACTTTAACATATCTTTTTATGAGGACATAACTTCTAACAATTCTCCCTTACTTATTATTAGTTTTTAAATCATTAGCAACTGGATCTTACTCAAGGAGAATCAGGTTTGAAAAGGTTCTGTTAGTGGCATCTATCTAAGTAGAAAAAGTGGTACTGCCACAAAATTTCTGTTTAATAAAATCATTTGGAAGTCTAAATTTTTTTTATTCTTTAAATTTTTTTAAAGACTTATTTTATTAATTTGAAAGTGCTACAGAGAGAGGTAGAGTCAGAGAGAGAGAGAGAGAGAGAGGTGTCTTCCGTCTACTGGTTCACTGCCCAAATGCCCACAACAGCCATAGCTGAGCTGATGTGAAGCCAGGAGCCAGGAGCTTCTTCCAGGTCTCCCATACAGATGCAGGAGCCCAAGGACTTGGGTCATCTTCTACTGCTTTCCCAGGCCATAGCAGAGAACTGGATTGGAAGTAGAGCAGCTGGGACTCAAACCAGCACCCATATAGGATGCCAGCACTGCAGGACAGGGCTTTAACCTGCTGCACCATAGCATCGGCCCCTGGAAATCTTTTTACCACAAAATATATGTAAGCAATTTAAGCAAAATACAAATGTAACAAAAAGGGGATACAACTAAACTCTGGTGATCTCATAAGAAAACATGCCCTGTAATGACTTTGTATTTTATAGCAGTCAATATTCAAAACACATCTGTGACAAGAAAGTAGAGAAACTGGAATTCTATATATATTACAGGTGGGAATATAAAATGATGCTGTGGAAGACAGTCTGCTGGTTCCTCAAAAAGTTAAACACAGAATTATCATATGATCCAGCCATTCCACTGCTGGGTCTGCATGCCACAGAACCAAGAACAAGTATTCAAAGAAAAACTTATACACAAAAGTCAAAAGATATAATCAAAATGTCCATCAATGCACAGATAGACAAACAGAATGTGGTCTGTCAATATGATGCAATACTTGGCCATAAAATGAAGGGAGTACTGATGCTACACATGGATGAACCATGAAAAGATTACACTAAGCCAAAGCAGGCAGACAGAAAAGATCATATATTGTATGATTCATTACCTGAAATGCTCAGAACAGGGAAATCCACAGAGACAGAAAAAAGATTATTAGGAATGGGCAGTGATCACAAATGGGGATAGAGTTTACATCTGGAGTGATGGAAGTGTTCTGGAATTAGACTGGGGTGCTAATTGCACAACACTGTACAACACTGTGAATGCACTGGCAGTTACTGGATTGTAAACTTGGGAACTGTTTGTCATGGTGCTACAGTTTATCTCAATAAAAACAGAAAATGTAAACATCTGTAACCCCAAAGACCATACTCTTCATTTAGTCTCCAACCATTTACTGAATGCAGGTGAATGTCTGACCTTGGGGTAACAAACAGACAAGTGGATACCCTGGTCCTCCAGGTCTAGTGGGGTGCTCAGGGCAGAGGGGTGAGGGTGGCACAGGGTGGTGAGTCCTCTGCTCTAGTAGAGAACAGGAGGCACATGGAACATATGATCAGGTCTGGCAATCCAGAAGAGGAAACAGCACAAGACAGGGAGGAAGCCAAGAAAATTCAAGGCAGTGGGGCCATTATGTGCAGCTTCCCAGAGATGGGCAAGGATGTAGCTTTCTAAGAATGTGGAAGTTCGGCAGAGAGACCACTAAGGCAGTGTCAGTAGAGATGAGAGACGAGGTCAGAGAAATGTGCCAGGGCTGGATGGCAAGGGGAGGGGATCAGATGGTAGGAGAAACACTGGCCACACTGGGGAGAAGGGACTAAAGGAAGAGGGTAGCACCTTTTGTGGGGAGACCAGCACAGATATGGGCAATTATCTGGCTGAAGGAACCATGGTGGAGGTAGCAGAGCAGAGTGACATATCTGATTCGAAACAGTCAAGAAGCAGGACATGGTGGCTAATGAGAAAAGTGGAAGCTTATAACACAGGTGATAGCCACGATTCTAGGCAGGGCAACCTGAGACAGTGGTGTCATTTACTGAGATACAGACTACTGAATAAGGAACATATTTTGAATGTAGTATGCATCAAATGTTTGATTCCTGTAAGAAAAGTCAAATGGAATTATCTATAAGCAGTAGGATGTACAGGTATGGTGCTCAGAAGAAAGGTCTGAGCTGTGGATATCAATGTGGAAGTCACTGGCACATGGAATGATAATGGAAGACAGAAATATGGTATATGGTGCTGCAGGACAGTGTGTTAACTTGAGGAGAGAAGTGTAGGCCACAAACCTGAAAAAGGCCAATATTTAAGAAATATGAAAAAAAAAAAAAAGACTCAGAAGAGCACCCAGAGGTTGATGAAAAAATACAGGAGAATGGTACTTTGAAAAGAAGGTACTCTGGTGCCGGCATCGTGGCGTAGCAGGTAAGGCCACTGCCCGCAGTGCGGACATCCCATATGGGCGCTGGTTCTAGTCCCGGCTACTCCACTTCTGATCCAGCTCTCTGCTATGGCCTGGGAAAGCAGTGGAAAATGGCCCAAGGCTGTGAGCCCCTGTACCCACGTGGGAGACCTAGAGGAAGGTCCTGGTTCCTGGCTTTGGATTGGCGCAGCTCCAGCCATTATGGCCAACTGGGGAGTAACCAGGGGATGGAAAGCCCCTCTTTCTCTCTCTCTCACTCTCACTCTGCCTCTCTTTCTTTCTCTGTTTAACTCTGACTTTCAAATAAATAAATCTTAAAAAAAAAAAAAAAGAGAAGTTACTCAACTATGTCGAAAGCTTGAGAACAAGGAAAATAAGCATGAAGGTATCTGGTGAACTTACCAAGAACAGTATGGGCAGAGAGATGGGGATGGGAGCTAATTTAATGCAGCTTAAGAAGTGAGCAAGGAGGGGATGGTGTTGTGGCACAGCAGGTAAAGCCACTGCCTATGATGCTGGCATTCCATATGGGTGCCAGTTGGAGTCCTGGCTGTTCTACTTTCAATTCAGATCCCTGTTAATGGCCTGGGAAAGCAACAGAAGGTGGCTCAAGCCTTGGGCCCCTGTACCCATGTGGGAGACCTGGAAGAAGCTCCTGGCTCCTGGCTTTGGCCTGGCCCAGCCCTGGCCATTGTGGCCATTTAGGGAGTGAACCAGCAGATGGAAGACCTCTATCTCTGTCTCTTATTCTCTCTGTATAAATCTAACTTTCAAATAAATAAATAAATCTTTTTTTCTTAAGTGAGCAAGCAGCAGGTGAGGAACTAGGGGTATCAAGTAAACAACTCTTTCAAGAACTCTATCTGAAAAAGGTAGGAGAACAGCAGCAGTAGCTGGAAGGGGATAAGGAATCGAGGGACAGTTTATTCATTTAGGTGGGAAAGATCTGATAGGAAGGAATCAGTAGAGAGGGAAAGGCAAACAATTCCAGAGAGAAAACAGCAGGCAGGAGACAGAATGCAGAGCACAGGCGGCAGAATAAGATGGGGTAGAGTTCCTGTCTGATTGACTGTTCCCTGTGAAGAAGAAAGCAAGGTCAAGTGTTGAAAATGATGGGGACGACTAGGCAGGGTCTACATACAAAGAGACAAAGGAGGCTAGAGGTGGTTGGGCAAATCTAGAATTGACCACAGCATTGAAAGCCCAGCTGATTCCATACAGCACAATGGATCCATTCTCTATGTTGTAAGCTTTTTGTTGTGGAACATGCAGCAGCCAAGGGTGTGGGCATGGGAAAGGCAGGCAGGTACACTGAACTGGGCCAGGAAGGGAGGACTTCAGGAGACATCTACTATGTACCAAACCATGTGTCAGGGAGAGGAATGGTTCCTCGGGAGTCAGAAATGAGTGGGGCAGAAGCGCCAGGAGGGGGTAAACTGAGGCTCATTCCAATCAAGCATTTCAGCACAGATGAAGCACTTGGTAAGAGTTAGTATTAACTGGAAGAAGATATTTAAAGACACTTTGTTGTTTGGAAACTGATTATTAAAGACATGAATAAGACAAAAAATCATCTGAAAACAGTTATAAAAATCAAAAGAGCATAAGTGGCTACCCTATGCCAGGACACAGAGAACAAGTACCTGCAGGTCTCAGACAGAAGAAGGGAAAGGGAGTAAACAGGGAACTCTACCTATACCCCAACAGGAACAGGGTGATGTAGTTCAGAAAGTGCTGAAAGACAAGGACTTGCTGGCCAGATCTCTAAGGAGGACAGAACAGCGCTCCCACGAGAAGCTGGTGATAGTGGGACACTGTTTCTCACCGGTACCCAAGTCCCTAAGAAGAGGATGACAGCAGTGGCAGTGGGGCCATCATCAATCTTCATGGGAAAGAGAAACCCAAATACTCCTTGGGAAGCAGCCATCTGAGGGATGGACTTAGTTTCCAGATTTCAGTTCAGCTCTTCACGCTTGTTGACAGCCTGCTCCTGGCAAGCCATTCCAACAAGCTCTTTGCCCATTAACATGCCAATCTTCCACAGCAGGGAATGATTCCCACGTGTGATGCCACAAAGTGGTAGAACAGGTTCTTACACTGGCAGACACCAAAGTCCGTAAATCTTCCTGGCTTCAGACCTCCCCAGGAAGCTCCTCCTTATTCTGGCTTCTAGGACATCACCCCTCCTTCCTTACTCATTCCTACCACTTGTGGCCCTCTTCCTTCACTGAATCTTTCTTTCAATCTCCAGAGACAACATCTCTGTGCCTGGTCCCTGCTCAGGAGACCTAGGCTCCTTTGGTGTCCACCACCCAACATACTGCTGGGCCCCCATCTCATCCTCCAACCTGACCATTTTCTGAGCTCCAGAGCCTTATCTTCCCTACACAGGCTCCTGGAATACAACAGGTTACAACTAAATTCCCAGCCTCCAACTAATGGGTTTGCTTTCTGAAAAATTAAATCTGATATAAAAAACTTCAATACCATCACTCTGCCTTCACAAACGAGCTGGAAATTTTCCATGTAACATGCAGTGATGCTTGCCATTAGGTACTCTAAATGCTGTCACTGCACGAAGAGAGGATCCTGACCCACCATCCAGTTAGCGCTTCACTCCACAGTTCTGGAGCAGCTATTCCATGCCTGGTCCAGCCTGCAGATTCATGTGTGCACAAGGGTCTCACAGTCCTTGCTGCCAAGGAGCTGAGGGCCAAGCAGCTAGACACACACTGAGCAAAGGACACAAGCACGCTGAGGGTTACAAAAAGGCAGATGCAGAGCGCCCACTGCACAGGAGACCTCTCCCACTGGAAAAGGCCTCCTGAGGAAGTGACATTCAAGGTGTTACCTAAAGGATCGGGGAGTGGATAGCCATGGGAGCAATGGCAAAGACTCTGACATAGCTCAGTACCTTCTCTTTTTCAAAATATTTTCCTTTCTTTTCCCCCCAATCTATGGCTGCCCTTATCAGTGTGTCTCTTTTTCTTTTGACTTTATATCCCTTAAATGTTGCCCTTCTTCAGGCTTCTGGACCATACCTCCCTCCTCTTACTAAGTTGGACAGTTGGCCACATCCATAATAGGTAACAGCTCTTCCCTAGACTCAGATTAGGGAGGTAGAAGACTGCCTTTCTTGAAGATTTGTGGTTAGCAATGGGATAATCACTGAGGAAGAAGAAGCAAGCTAACAAGAGAAGCAAAGTTGAAATCACACTGAGGGCAGGGTGGCCACACCTTTTTACATCTTCCTTCTTGCCATTCTTTTTTTTTAAAAAAAATAATTTATTTCTTTGAAAGAGAGAGAGAGAGGCGCCAGCACTGTGGTGTAGCTAGTAAAGCTGCCACCTGTAATGCTGGCATCCTATATGGGAGCCAGTTCGAGTCCTGGCTGCTGTACTTTGAATCTACCTCTCTGCTTATAGCCTAGGTAAGCAGTAGAAGGTGGCCCAAGTCCTTGGACCCCTGTACCCACGTGGGAGACCTGGAAGAAGCTCCTGGCTCCTGGCTTCAGATTGGCCCAGCTCCAGCCGTTGCAGCCAATTGGGGAGTGAACCAGAAGATGGAAGACTTCTCTTTCTCTCTGCCTCTATGTAGCTCTTTGCCTTTCAAATAACTAAATAAATCTTTAAAGGGGGTGGGGGAGAGTTCGATCGATCTTCTATCTACTGGTTTACTCTCCAAATGGCTGCAACAGCTGGGGATGGGCCAGGCTGAAGCCAGGAGCCAGGAGCCTCATCTGGGTCTCCCACGTGAGTGCAGGAGCCCAAGCACTTTGGCCATCTTCCACTGCTTTCCCAGGTACATTAGCAGGGAGCTGGACCAGAAGTTGAGCAGCCAGAATTTGAACTGGCACTCATATGGGATACTGGCATCACAGGTGGTAGCTTAACTTGCTACACAATGCCAACCCCCTTTCTTGCCAATCTTGTGAATGATGTGCCTCATCACACCGTTGGGATAGGTACTCATGCTATCTAGAATGCCTTGCCTGTCTCTGCCCACTCACCATGCAAAGGCAGCTCAAATGTTCCTTCCTCTGAGAAGCCCTACCTAGCTGCACAAGCAGGGCACACTGAACTTATACCTCCTATATAGAGCACCTTTTCTTGTCTTTTTATTTCCCCAGCCCCTTCCCCTAGAGGAGCTCATTAGATGTGTGCCACCCAAGTGCCATTTTACAAGTAGGCATGCAATGGTGAAAGGCTGTCACCTTCCTAATACCTGGAACTACTTCAGGAGAGGGCATAGGCCTCTGAGTGTCAGATGCCTGCCTGCAGCAACACATTATTGGAAAGGCATTCATGGGACACAGAAATAGCTCAGATCAGAGCCATTTCTGTTTAGAGTACTTGAGCTTGGCCACATAGTTTTAACTACATACAAAGGGCCCTACCCTCTTCAGCTAGAGGGGATCAAATGGGAGCTGCTTACATAGGTGTTCATATCATGGTCTCACTGTCAACTGAGGTACACTACCACAGCTTCATGTGAGGTATGGAAACTGTACAGGAGCCCACCCCCTCCCCTTAACAGCAGTTTCATTTTCTGCATTTTAGTTATCCATGGTCAACCATGGTCTAAAATATTGAATGGAAAATTCTAGAAGTAAACAATTCGTAAGTTTTAAACTAAGAGTGATTCTGAGCACCATCTGACTATTCTTCAGTCATGAATCACCCCTTGGTCTAGCACATCCACTCTGTATATGCTGCCTACCCGCTAGTTACCCAGTAGCCATCTCAGTTATCAGATCAACTGTCTCAGAATCACAATGCTTAATTCAAAGTAACCCTTATTTTATTTAATAATGTCCTCAAAGTTCAAGAGTAGCAATGCTAGCAATTCAGACACACCAAAGAGAAGCCGTTAAGTGCTTACTTTAAGTGAAAAGGTCAAAGTTCTCTACTTAGTAAGAAGTGACAAGAAAAAATATCATCCTGCGGTTGCTAAGACCTACATTAAGGATGAATCTTCTCAAGGTCACTCTAGTTTTGCTGCTGCATTCTAACTGCAAAAGTTATGGCCAGTATGTGTGATTAGTGCTTATTAGTTAAGGTGAATAGAGTATTAGATGTGTGTGTGTATATATATATATTTTTTAATTTAAGAAAACAGTATATACAGAGTTCAGCACTATCTGTGATTTAAGTCATCCACTTGGAGTTTTGAAAGGTTTCCCCCATGGATAAGGGAAAACTACTGTATATTTTCAGTTTTACCTGGCTGACTCCATTCTAAGAATGGTTTAGAATAGATATGAATTAGGAGCCGGCACTGTGGCTCACTTGGTTAATCCTCTGCCTGTGGCGCCAGAATCCCATATGGGCGCCAGGTTCTAGTCCCGGTTGTTCCTCTTCCAGTTCAGCTCTCTGCTGTGGCCCAGGAGTGCAGTGGAGGATGGCCCAAGTGTTTGGGCCCCTATACCCGCATGGGAGACCGGGAAGAAGCACCTAGCTCCTGGCTTCAGATGGGCGCAGCGCCGGCTGGGGCGGCGATTTGGGGAGTGAACCAACGGAAGGAAGATCTTTCTCTCTGTCTCTCTCTCTGTCTATAACTCTACCTGTCAAATAAAAAAACTATAAAAAAAGAATAGATATGAATTAATCAAGCAATCACTATATTTCTGAAAGAGAATTCCAAGGGCTTCATGACAATTTTATTAAAATACTTACTAATCACTTGCATGAAACTTCTCTTTCTCAGTCTTGTCTTAAGATATTCAACAGACAAGATTGTGAAAAAGCAAAGACAAGACCCAACCTCTATGAGACACCAAATTTGGCTATGAACTACTTGGAAAGATTCTAACTTCAGGTGTTGAGGAATTTAACAAAATATTCTAACTGCATACTGATTTACAGACAGTAAATAAGAAAATGTCCAATGTCTCTGCAAAGTTATCAAGAAAGTACCTTGTTGGTATCAGCGACACTGTTTTGTCGGGCATCAAAGATGATCAGTTTGTGTGACTGTGCATTGGCATCCATTATTGTTTGCAAGTATTTTTCATCTTCTTTGCAGCGCTTATCATTGGGACCCACAAGCGGCTGGCCGCAACGGGTAATTGTTGCCTGACTTTCCGGATGAATCCATGACAACACCTAGTGTTTGCAAGCAATACATGCTCTAATTACTCGGTAGGAAAGAAAGTTCACATCTTAAGCACTCTCTCTTCTGCAGTTTTGCTCAAAGGTGAGAGCTGGCAATCTAATCACTGCATTATAGTTGCCGTGGAACTCAAGGTTTTGGTCAGGCCGAACTATACCTCACAAGATGAGCTCTAAGCATTGCTTTCTACCTCCAAAATTCTGGGTTCTGAGCAAGGCAAATCTCAAGTCAAACTATTAGTAAAATCTATCCTTACTCCTATTTGACTGACTCATTTTCTATTGTCTAATTTAGACAGAAACTTTTTTTTTTTGTATCTCAGTGATAACACATGTGGCAGACTGAGGATAAAGTGAATATATAGTCCCTAATAAAATCTAGCACTCTGTCACCAAGTGAAATTTCCCTCTTGTGGTCAAGTAACTCAGAATTATACCACATGCAAACTTCAGGTTCAAAACAATCATTGCCTGGTTTTGGCTATTATTTTTGTTATGGTGTAACTCCCATGTATCTTTAGCATTTCACTCAGCATCTAAAAAAGAATGTATTTTCTCTAGGATGATTCAGCAAAACCAGTGGTGTACACTGTTAATGCAACACTATGCTGTTTCCTATTATTCTTTTCTTATACTCTATTAAATTTTGAGAACATAACTTAGGCTCCCCTCATACTTAGCGATAGGAAATTATACAAAAGGGAGTCACAACACAAAAAAATTTTATAATTAGGTATTTCTTGAGAATTAGATATGTTCTGAATTTTAATGATTATTTTTCTACTTTCCATTTTGTGCACTTGATTCTTTTCCATCTTGCATCTTTCCTCTTAGATTTAACACAGTACATGTTCCTATTTAAATGACAATTTTACTACTTACAGGGACTCTGCCTTTTGCTCGAAAGGCTGCCACTTTTGAAAGGTCATCATCTTTCACACTAGTTGGCACAACGATGACAGCAGGGTAGGTGTCACAAAACTCATAATTACTGTTTATTTTGGATATTTTCCAACTCTCATTGGGCAGGCCCTGCAGAGTATTAGAGAAGGGAGAGAAACATGATTTTACACTTTGAAAAACTACTTAGCATAAACCACATCCACTTCTTATCTTCAAGTAAAATCCATTTATAATCTGTCATTCATTGTTACTTAAAAGTTAATATACATATTTAGCTGGTACAACCCATTTCCTTTCTAAAAATCTAATGAAGTCCATGAATTTCCACACAGTATTAAAAATGGAAAATTCTACACTGAATCCCAGTTCTATATATTTTTGTCCTGTTTTCTATAAAGAATGAATAAGCTTAGAGTTGTCTGAAAGTACACCTGAAACTCCCTTAGAAACAGAAACTTCTTGTAATTGTCTAAAATAAAAACTATAAAACATTATACCAAATATAAGGTGGAGACAAAGATTAAATGTCATTACAATAAGATTTCACTGCAATAACTTGATGTTCATAGTGCACTGAAGCGCTCTGAGACCCAGGCACACCACATCACAGTGATGTAGTCATACCAGATGTTCCAAATCTAACTTAAGTGAGCAGTTTAGATCCTTACACAACTCTCTAGCAAACCACCTAACAAAAATCATCCAGCCGATTTGGTTTTCAAGCCCCTCTGCTTCACTCCCACTTTGTCCTCTGGGAAGAGGACAAAGTAACAGGGTCAAAGGTTTGGCCCAGTAGAAGAGAGCATTCACCATGAGAGTATTTCAGGCATGGAAAGCCAAGACACTCTGGGGGAAAAAAAACCTAAATGAAAGATCTCCACGAGTGAGATCCCAGTGGAAAGAATGGGTCATCAAAGCTGGAGGTACCTTTCTCTGAAGGGAGGAGAGAACCTCCACTTTGACCATGGCCTTGTCTAAAAATGATCAGAGTCAGTGAACTCAGGGGGCTTCCATAGCCTTGGCAGCTCATGACAAGAGCCTAGGGTGATTACTGATGCCATAAACAAGAGTGTCAATTTGTTAAGTCAACAACAGGAGTCACTGTGCACTTACTCCTCATGTAGGATCTTTGTCCTTAGTGTGCTGTACATTGAGATTTAATGCTATAACTAGTACTCAAACAGTATTTTTCACTTTATGTTTCTGTGTGGGAGCAAACTGTTGAAATCTTTACTTAATGTATGCTAAACTGATCTTCTGTATATAAAGAGAATCGAAAATGAATCTTGATGTGAATGGAAGGGGAGAGGGAGTGGATAAGGGGAGGGTTGTGGGTTGGAGGGACGTTATGGGGGGGAAGCCATTGTAATCAATATTCTGTACTTTGGAAATTTATATTCATTAAATAAAAGTTAAAAAAAAAAGAAGAGAGCATTCAGGAGATGTAGAACAAGCTCGAGAAGTTACACCTATGTATAGCTTGTTTGAAACAGTTTCTTCCCCTCCACTATGCTTCCACACTTCTACAAACGAAAACCCATTATTTTGATAAGCAAAATACTTTACCTGTCTCTTATATTCAGACACTGGGTCATAAACTTTCCAGCCATTAGTCGGAAATTTTTCTTTATAGCTGAATGCAAATAGTGCCTAAATACATAAACCACAAAATATTTATCATCATTTCTTTTTCATACCATATACCTAATGGTAAAGCTTTTCATTCTGAAGTGAGTTAAATATATAAAGGTTTCCATTTTAATCTGTAAATTTTGGAAGAAATAAATTGGTTACTTTTTGTAATTGTCACACAGAACTGACAAACTAAGTAGTCTAATATTAATTACCAGCAGAAAATTACATAATCTCTAGACAAAGAAATAATTAAACTTAAGATTTTGGACTCCTAGAAAAGCATGGAGAAAGGTTTACTTTGGTGTACTTACCTGTCCATTGGAAAGAGGAAAAGCATGTTTGTTAAGGTTTTCAAATATCCCTAGTTTACGCTGTTCTTCCTGTTTATAAGCCAGTCGCAAGTTTCTCATATCCTGTTGAAAAATTAGCAAAATCCAGTTTTTCAACACGTATTGAACACCTCAGACACTATGCCATAAATAAAATATCTTACCCATTTCTCATTGTATACTCCATCTTGCTCCAACTAACAAAAAGCAATTTAACAAAAATACTTCTAATAGCTTTTTTAAAATAAAGATGTATTTATTTGAAAGTCAGAGTTACACAAAGAGAGAAGGAGAGGCAGAGAGAGTGAGTCTTCCATCTGCTGGTTCACTCTGCAGTTGGCCTCAATGATGGGAGCTGTGCCAATCCGAAGCCAGGAGCCAGGAACTTCTCCCAGGTCTCCCATGCAGGTGCAGGGACCCAAGAACTTGGGCCATCTTCTACTGCTTTCCCAGGCCATAGCAGAGAGCTGGATCCGAAGTGAAGCAGCTGGGACTCGAACCGGTGCCCACATAGGAAGCTGGCACTACAGGCAGCAGCTTTACCCACTACGCCATAGCACCGGCCCCCTCCAATAGCTTTTTAAAAATTGAATGATGGATTGGAACAAAGGGGAGAGGATGTATGTGGAGAAAAAAATCATCAGATGGAACAAAAAAAGGTCTGTACACAGAAGCTGTGCCATCAAAGTGCCATACACTGACTTGCTAAAGGCGTGCCACAGTATTACATGTGTACTTTAAGCTGCTCAAAAAGCCAGTTACAGAATTAACACAAAAGAGAAGTGTAAATTTTCCTGAACATTCACAGAAAGGACACTGCATCACAGCCCTCAGTAACATCTTTATGGCTATAAAATGTTTCTCAAGATCAGTTTCTTAAAATGTCCCCCAATGCAAGCTGATGGCAAAGGCCCAAGCACAAACCAGTAGGAAGGATCCCATCAAAACCATCTCTGATGGTGTTATTTCTTCCCAGGATGATGTTTTCAGCATTGCCCCCAACCTTTTAAGACTATGTCCTTGTTAGTTAAACACAAAAATCTTATTCTTTAACATTATTTGAAATTTGAAAATAAATATGATTGTAAACAAACTAGAGAAAAAGCAACTTAGGAAGCAAAGTTATTTTTGTGATATAATTTATAACAGCAAGAGAATGGAACTAGCCTAAATGTCCATCAACGGGAGCCCATTAAACATCTTTAAAGATAACGAGAATTCTAAAGAGCTGTCAAAAATAAGCAACAGGAGCCAGTGCTGTGGTGCAGCAGGTAAGGCCACTACCTACAGTGCTGGCATCCCATATGGGCGATGGTTCGAGTCCTGGTTGCTCCACTTCTGTTCCAGCTCTCTGCTGTGGCCTGAGAAAGCAGTAGAAGATGGCCCAAGTTCTTGGGCCCTTGCACCAGCATGGGAGACCCAGAAGAAACTCCTGGCTCCTGGCTTTGGATCGGTGCAGCTCCAGCTGTTGCAGCCAATTGCGGAGTGAACCAGCAGATGGATGACCCCCCTCTCTCTGCCTCTCCTCTGTGTAACTCTGACCTTCAAATAAATAAATCTTAAAAAAAAAAACCCTAGCAACAACTCTAAATGTATCGACAATAAAAGTTCTAAGACATATTATCAATGGTAAAAGGGGTGTGAACATATAATACACTACCATTTATGTCTGCAAGCAAGACTACACACATGCTTAAATGTACAAGATTATCTATGGAGGGGTACACTAGAAATTAGTAACAGTGGGTGTTTGTGGTGGACAGAATCGTGTGGCTTGCTGCTGGGTACAAGGAGACTTTTTTTTTTAAAGAATTTATTTATTTATTTGAGTGGTAGAGTTAGAGACAGTGAGAGGAAGAGACAGAGAGAAAGGTCTTCCTTCTACTGGTTCACTCCCCAAATGGCCACAAAGGCTGGAGCTGGGCCGATCTGAAGCCAGGAGCCAGGAGCTTCTTCTGGGTCTCCCATGCAGGTGCAGGGACCAAGGACTTGGGCCATCTTCTACTGCTTTCCCAGGACACAGCATAGAGCTGGATTGGAAGACAAGCAGTTGGGGCTAGAACCAGCGCCCATATAGGATGCCAGTGCCGCAGGTGGAGGATTAACCTACTGTGCCACGGCACTGGCCCCGAGGAGACTTACTTTTCAATATATACAGCTTTTGTACCACTTAATCACCTGTAAGAAAAATAAACCCCATACTGCACAAGGCTATTACACATGAGCTGAGACAGCAAGGAGCATAGCCTTAGTAATTCCAGACTAGAAAACATTTAAAGCAGCTGTTAGCAAATGCTCACCTGAGCCATAACAATATCTTTGTAAAACTGCCACAGGACACCTGCCTAAGCAGCATAATTTCCTGACACACCCTCCCTCCAAGCTGCACGGGCTAGGCACGTTCGCCTATGTGAACGGCTCAAGAACCGCTCCAAGAGAAAAGCAGTGCAAATCAAGGAAGAGCATGTGCAAAGGCACTGGAGTTACATGAGGGGTGATTAGGAGGCGAGTATGAACAGCTGAAGGAACGCCAGTGGGACCAGATGGCAATGATGAGGAGAGGGCAGCTGGATGTGACGCCGTAGAGGAAAGGGAGTCAGGCTCAGATACACAGGGTCTCCATAAGGAGTTCCTCCTTCAGCTACTGGATACTGAGAAACTATTCAAGAATTTATGAGAGGGGCCAGCACTGTAGCACAGCCAGTAAAGCCACTGCTTGCAGTGGGCGCCAGTTTGAGTCCCAGCTGCTGCACTACCAATCCAGCTCCCTGCTAATGGCCTGGGAAAGCAGCAGAAGATGGCCCAAGTCCTGGGGCCCCTGCACTTGTGTGGGAGACCTGGAAGAAGCTCCTGGCTTTGGATCAGCCCAGCTCTGGACATTTCAGCCATTTGAGGAGTGAACCAGCAGATGGAACACTCACTCTCTCTCTCTGCCTCTCTGTAACTCTGATTTTCAAATAAATAGATAAATCTTTTTTTAAAAAAAAAGTTTATGAGAAGGGGAATGACATCTCTCAAAATTGCAGAAGAAATCTGTAACTGCTCACCACTGTCCTACTTGGGAAGGACAGGCACACTTTACCAAAGGAGACAGCTGCTGGGTAGCATCTAAATGAGTCTAGGAAACCAACAGATTCATGATCTGAAAGAGGAAAGGACTCTTGGAAAAAATGGATTCAATGGTAGTTTAGGGCCAACCAGAGGGAAGATTTGATCCAAGTAAACGGATCAGCAGGAATCCAGACCCCAAATCTGGAAAGGGCCTTGATGATTGTGCAGGCAGGATCTCCTTTCAGGTACTTTACATGGGCCTTAGTAAACCGTATTACATGATATGAAGTCACTGAGAATAAAGCACACTGATTAGCCATTTTTCCTGACCATTATTAAAATTTCCTGACCATTATTAAAATCTCTACTTAACTCATTGGAAGCAAGGTACAAAATAAAAAATAAGGTCAAGCTGACAATCCCAACATAGCCAAGGAACTTAATAATTTTTAAAACCACCAACTAGGAAAAAAAAAACCCAAAACGTATTGATCTCTGCTTTCCACTTGAGTTCTCTGAGATGTAACAAATAATGTCAGCACTTAGGTTATAGGTCATGTTAATTAGAAACACTTCGACAGGAAAGAAAAGGTTTACTTTGACATGTTACACAATGCTTTGAATCTGTTGATAGGAGACTTCAAGGGATCACTGATCTGCAAAAATTCTGCATTACTAACAGTACAAATCAGTCTTACTGTCCGAAAACCGTGCCCAAGGAGTCAGATAAATTTCTGAGCTGACTGCTCCCTTTTAGCCTTCACTTGTGTTTATCTTGTACCTTGCACACGATCTCTATACCACAAGAATTGTCTCCGTGGCTCTGTACTCCAATCTTCTCGACTCTGCTGATCACTCCAAGGGGAACATCAAGGATGAAATGTGGGTCCTAGGTTTAAAAATTAAGATTAATGGCTGTCGAAGTCAGTCAACAGAGCTTTCATATTTTAAGTCTTTAGTAGTTACAAAATACATTTGCTTATGGCATTTTCTTTGTCCCAGCTAAGAAACTGGTCTTATTTACAGCATGCCTTATGAAGTGTACGCTGAGACTACAATGGAACTACCCCTGTTGGCTTAGGTGGTACTTCAACAGACCATTCGCAAATATGCATATTTTAAACACTCACCCTCTGGTTAATCTCAGGGTGATGGGATTTCAAGGGGACTTTTTCACTTTCTTCTTTGGGTATTATGCAGTGTTTTTAAAAAGAAAACACACTTTTAAAACTCACCCTCTCTACGTTTTTGAAGTACATCTTAAAGTCCGTCACTGTCAGGGTTCCACTCACTGCTCCCATGAATGGGCAGATATACATGACATCTTTCACTGAAAGAAAAAACCCAAAGCAGCAACTATTGACGCAGACTTGTGCTTCAAAAATCTTAACATGAGTATACACAAAAAAGTATATTTGTGATTTCAGTTTTCTAGGAATTTTTAATTTTATAGAATTTTACCAATGGTTTCTTTAAATAAAAACATAGATGTCTTCTATTTGGATTTGCTACTTAACGAGGCTTTAAGTCAAAGGTCACCTAACACCATTCTGATATTTCTTCCTACAAGCAGCTAACAATTTTGTGTGTGATAAATTAATCATGTTTACAACTAACTAAACACTGAAGACTCTGAGATACCATTACATAAATTTCTGCCACTTAAAATTAAGGAAAATTAAAGCAGCCCACTACTTGTGAGAGGTCCTCACAGAAAATCACCATTATACCACAGCCTCATAAAAGCTCAGAAAAGGATCAACGTAACTCAGCAAGGAAGCAGACAGGGAGAGTGAGAATGGAGGGAAGAGAAAAGAGCAGGTTGTTAAAGGCTGCATCAAAAGGTGCAGTGAGGATGACAGAACGAACACAAGATCAGAGAAGCTGGCAGGCAATGGAAAAGAAGTGCCTTTGTAGGACATTAAGGCATTATTATCATTATCCTTACAACATAATTATTTAAGCAAAAATTAGGACAGTGTATTGTGGGGCTTAAGACATAAGTAAAATAAAATGGATAAAGATAGGAAAAAAGACTGAGGGGACAAATGAAAGCATAGTACTGTAAGGTCCTTATCCAAACATGAAGTGGCATAAAATCATTTGAAGATAGACTTGAAGATAGGTATAGCTAATATGCAAACAACAGAAGACAAAATGGAATCTTAAAAAGTACTCAAAACAAAGGAAGACTGGAAAAAGAACAAAGAGCAAATGGGACAAAGAGAAAAAAATCAAGATGGTAATTTAAAGTCTAATTATATTATTAATAAAATAAAATTTAAATGATCTAAACACCCCAATTCAAAGGAAGAGACTGAAGTGGGCATTTCTCCTAGCAGTTGTGACATCATTTACGATGCCCATGTCCACATCAGAGAACCTGGGTTTGACTAATGGCTCTGGTTTCTGATTCTAGCACCCTGCTAACGCAGACCCTAGGAGGCAGTGGTGATAGCTCAAATAATTGAGCCATTACCTCCTATATGAGAGACCTAGATTCAGTTCTCATCTTTGGGTTCAGCCAGCTTTTGTTGGCATCTGAGGGAGTGAACCAGTAGTTGGGAGCTCATTCTCTCTCTCTGCCTCTCAAATTAGGAAAAAAAAATTAAGGCTGAGGCTGTTAGACTGGAGACAAAAGCAAGACCCAAGTTTTTGTGGCCTAAAATAAACCACTTTATGTAGTAAACATACACAATTGAGAACTATGCAGCCATATAAAGGACAAAATTCTGCCATTTATGGCAACATGGATGAAACCAGAGATTATGTTAGGTCAAATAAAACAGGTACAGAAAAATAAATACCACATGATTTTACTCATCTCTGAAATCTTTAAAAAGCTGAGCTTATAGAAGTAGAAAGCAAAATAGTGGTTACGAGAGGTAATAGGAGGAGGTGAGAATGAGAAGAGACTGGTTAATGAGTACAAGATCACAACCAGATATGATGATAAGTTCTTATGTTCTATTATACAGAGGATGATCATAATTAACATTGTATTATATAATTCAAAATAGCTAGAAAAGAAGATTGAATGTCCTCATTACAAAGAAATGATAAATTTCTAAGATGACAAGTATCCTGATTTGATCAGTATACAATGTACAAACATACCAAAGCATCATACTGTACCCCATAAAGATGTACAATTATCAACTATCAATAAAAATGTTTAAAATAAACAATAAATATACAGACACAAATAGTGTGAAATTCAAAGGATGAAAATAGGCATGGGAAATTCAAAAAGTTCATGGGAAATGCATTTTATGAAAAATCTATGAATGGATTTCCAAATTCTTTGCACCAAAATAAACTTATCTTTTAATTCAATTTTCCCCAACCTTTTAAAGTACCCTTACATATGTTAATACTAACTGAAATAAAGCTGTAATGTATATAACAATATCAAAATATCAAACAGGATTTCAGAGCAAAGAATATCACCAGAAATAAAATAGTTCTTTACATAATAATGAAGGGGTCATAAGAATCCTAAACATTTATATACCTAGTGACAAACCTTCAAAATTCATGAAACAAAATGGATGGAACTGCAAGGAAGAACACACACCCACTATTATAGTCAGAGATTTTAAAACCCATCTCTCAATAATTGCTAGAAGAAGTAGACATAAAATGAGTAAGGACACAAAGATTTGAAGACCATCAACAAACTAATTGCAATCATTAACCTAATCACCATTCGTATAACACTGTATTCAACAGAAAACACATTTTTGAACAAAGAATGTACACAGAACATTTACAAAGATTTCTGAATTTACAAGGTTTGTGAAATATCAAAAAATATTCAAGTCATAGAAAGTATGTTTTCTGAACATAATGGAATGAAATTAGAAGTCATTAACAGAAGAAAATTTGGAAAATACACAAATATGTCAAAATCAAACAATATAATCCTAAAATAATCCACAGTCAAAAAATAAATCTAGAGGGGAATTCAAAAACATTTTGAATTGAGGGACAAAAAACTAATGTCATGATTGGTGAGATGCTGCTAATCGGCACTTGGGAAAAATCAAATGCCTTGCACTAGAAAAGAACAAAGGTCTCAAATTGATAATTGCAGCTTCTACTTCAAGAACCTAGAAAAAGAAAAGTGAATTAAACCCAAAGGAAGCAGGAGACAGGAAATAAACACCAGAGTGCAAATCAATGAAATAGAAAACAAAGTAATGAAATCAAAGGCCAATTCTTTGAGAAAAATCAATAAAATTGATAAACTCCTAGTCAGACTGGGAAAAATAAGAGATGACACACACATTAACAATATCATATGTGATAAAGGTGAGGTCACTATACATATTACAGATAAAATTTTACAGGTAAATTAATAAGGGAATACAATAAAGAGCTTTATGAAGATAATCTGACAACTTGGGTTAAATGAATAAATTCCAAGAAAGACATAAACCACTAAAGTTTACTCAAGAAGAAAAATACAGCCTAAATAGTCCTATAGACACTAAAAAAGAAACAATGTTATTAAAATCTTCCCACAGAAAAAACTCAAGAGCTAAGTGGCTTCACTGGTAATTTTACCAAATACTTCAACAAGAAAACTCAAGAAGACAAAATAATATCCAATACAGTCTATGAGGCATGTATTACTCTGATAACAAAATCTTACAAAGCCATTATAAGAAAAAAACAGACTGGTATCAATCATATAAATATTGATGCAAAACTTCCAAATAAAATCTTAATAAACCAAATTAAACAATATGAGGATACTTCAGAAAGTTATCGGAAAATGGAATTAAAGATAAGTATGTGTTAGTGCAAAAAATGGAAATACATGAGCATGGGGTCAACTTCAAAAAGTTTAAAATTATGCATGCCACTCTTATCCACTCATAGCACAACTGACTACTTACTAAAGTGCCTAGAAGTCTACCAAGGAGGGATATGGGAACCCTAATGCCATTACTTTTACAATCCTGAATGGCAATACATGCCCTTTTCTTGCACAAAAATTGTAATTTTTGGAATCTTACAAGCCAATAAAATTTCTTTGCCAAGTTCTCAAACATTTATTAAAATATGATACATATCTTCTACCTATTTTCCTTAAAGGAGTCCAACAAAGCAGTAAACTAACATTACACTGAGTATGTAATCAGCTTTTAGTTCATCAGGAAAAGTTGGGCCCCTCTTCTGTTGGCAATGCCATTTAATACTGAACTGTAGCTTAACATGATCCTTTACCTCTTAAGGTCATGACAACACTAAGGAGGAAGAATAAACATGGTTCATTTGTCCCCTAATTTAATTGGCCTGGTTGATCTTTAGCATATACATCACCTGTGTGCACAAAGTGCCATTTCACTTTATGGATCTCTCTATAAACTTACCAATGGCCTTAATCGATTCTCCTGGAAAAAGTGGAGCTTCCTCCATCTGTGCCAGCTTATTTCCATCCCTTAGAGCCTGGCAAAAAAACAAAATGGGAGTAAATCTCACTTTCCATCTGTATACCTGAGAAGAATTCTGGTGTTCTGTGCTCTTGACTTAAGGCTACAGAAGCGTGCAAAATGTATGCCCTCCCTCCCCTTAAAAGTCAATTTCAAAGCTCAGCATCACAGGACATCATGCTGCATAATCTAGCAAATTGTTACAACATATTTAAATTCCACAGTTAGAAAGCATTAATACAAAAAATGGCTTGACATGACATATACATACTGTAATCACTACACAGACAGCTATTATAAGGTGCCTCCAAAATTTGGAAATAGGTCAGAAAAAGGTTACCTTCTAATCATGACACTAACACAAATAAAAGTCATAGTAGATGTGCTTGCTTAGCTAGCTATAGAAATGACCTAGCCTATAAGATAGTTTGGGAAACCCTAAAGTCTAATTAAAACAACTAGGGAATCATCTCAGGACAGTGCAAAATTAAACTTCTGGGCTTTGGGCTGCATTCAACTATGCATGCGTGTGTGAGTGGGTGCGTGTGCACACAGTGTACGACAGGAGACATGGAAAGTGCAACTGTCAGTGTTTACTCAATCCAGGCCCTGACAGAGTGTGCTCTCATCTCATAGACAAGAGTACAGGTTGAGCATCCCTAATCCGAAATCATAAATGCTCCAAAATCTGAACATTTTGCATTCCAGTGGGGCACTACAAGAAGAAAATTCCACACGTGACCTCATAAAACAGGTCACAGTCAAGATAGAGGTATACTAAATAGATTGTATAAAATGTCCTCATCTATGTGTATGAGGTACACAGGAAACATAAATGAATTTCCTGTTTAAACTTGGGCCCCATCTCCATAATATTTCATTATGTACGGCAAATATCCCAAAATATGAAAAACTCTTAACCCCAACACTTTCTGGCCCCAAGCACTTCAGATAAGGGATACTCAATCTACTGTGGAACAGAGTATTTATCAGGTATCTTCCAAGCCAATTTGCTTTGCACTAATCTCATGCTCACCTAGAAAACTGCTTATGACTTACTATGTTTGCAGGCTACAGTGATACTAGCAAAAAGTTCCCTTGTATGGCTGTAAAGATACATGTCCACATTTCTGAATAATCGGATTGGCACTGTGGCCCAGTAACAAGTCTCTGGTAAGCTTGGTTGGATAGTGCGGTAACTCAGGGGAGATAAGAAAAAGACATTCTTGAACTGCAAAGCAAAGGACCAAAGCCTGAACTTGGGGCCTGTTTCAGAGTACTGCCACACTGTGAGATGCTGCCAAGGAAACCAGTCACTTTAGCTTTGGCATCTCTGAAATAATGTGTCATGAATAAGAATAAGGTGATCAAAATTCCAGCAATTGCCAAGCTGTGTTCTGTAGAGCATTAACTTCCCAAAAGATATGAATAGGTCTTTTTTTTTTTTAAGTTTTAGAAATGATAGCTAAAAAAGTAAAGCTGTTTTTTTCTATTATTTTTTCAAAGTGAAGCAAGTCTTTAGTGTGTTAATGTACACCAAATCAGTAAAATGGCACTAGAGTATAATACAATTCTCATACATATTTGATCAAGGACTGCTTTTTTCCCAGAATACTTGTTAACATTGGGAGGCCACTAGCATGCAGTGGAAAAATGGACTGGACAATACTAAATTTTCAGCATAATAATTGCAAAGCAAAATACTTAAAATGGGTATTTTTCATAACTCTAATCTAAATTATTGAAAATTCAAAATAATTATTTTTCATGGTTACAAGAAAATTTCAATGTTTTATTAAAGGGAGTTACAGATCAAATATGAAACACTATGCAACAGTTTCATCAAATTTTATAAAATGGGAAAAAGTCAAAATATAAATAGGAAACTCAATGCTGAACGTTGGTCAAGGGTATGTCTGTTCCACTGAGAGAGCATAAAACACAATCCAACTTTCTTATCAAAAGATGCTTGGGGAAAGCAATATAGATTAGAATTAAGCAGTACCTCCAATTTACTCAATTTGAATTTTTAGTCCAGACTGATTTTTATAACATCTTTCAGCTAGAGTATTTAGTGAGTTGATATATTAAAGGAAGCATGAAGAATCACTCATGAATTCATTTTTATACTCACATCCAATCTGGATATATATCTTTTATGCAATAAAATATAAACCAAGATGTATATTTTTAATTGTCAGGTTTTAGAAACACTGAAAGATCAGCAATCTTAACAGAATTCTTAATTTAAGAATCTGCTTTAACTTGTTGCCTGAACTAGTGACTAATTTTATAGCCTAAGTTAAAAAAGTGAGAAGCTTTAAATTATTTTAAATGTTACATTATTAAGCCTTATATTAATGGCTAAATAGTAATATATCACATAGATGTAAGCTCCTTAATTTTTATTTAAAAGTAAATGGGGGTAGATTAGTTTGAAACATATTCACTACAGCAGATTGTCTTAATCAACTGAATCTGGAAGGAGGTAGGAAAGATATAACTCCCTTTAAGCTTTGAGGAAAACACATCAAACATTTTTAAAGTCCTTAGCCCAGGACTAGATTACAAAATATTGTAGGTTAGGAGACAGAGGTGATTGGGACCATTCTGAAAAATGTACAAGGTTCTCAATACAAAGGCTGAAGATCAAACTTTCTCCTTTCTTCACATCGTCATGTCAAGTTTGGCTTGAAACACCAGTGCATTTCTTTCAGGCGTGAATGTGAGACATAGTGAGATAAATTTCATAGTGAGATAAATAAATCTTGGACATGCTTTTTGAATAATGAAAAAGCAACTATCAGAATAAAACAAAGAAATGATCCCCACAGCTTCAGATTTCCCCATCAGAGGTTCACTCAGGTAACTTTAGCATAGGAACTCAAGAATATAATTTTAAAAGGCTCTTATTTTTGGTGAGTGCAGCAAATTCCCTTTATAAAACTGGTGTTAGGAGATGGGACTTACGTTTGTGCTATATTAAGCTTTAACTGCATCTACCAGCTTGCACAGGACATGATTTGACCCTTGATTTATCCAACCTATGTGTAGCACAAAGCGTGGAATAGTCTTGCAAACTAAATTTGATATCATAAACATGCTCATTCCTCTTAGCGACTTTGCTCAAAGTTTTGCCCAGCAAGGGACTCCTGATGACCTTATCCAAATTCTATTCCAGCAGCCCTGAAGGTCCCGCTGAAACCTAAAAGCTCCATACCAGCCCTCCCTGAGGGGCCCAGCTCACCTAGATGATAGCCCTGGCATCCTCCACTGCTTTTCTCCTCAGTCTGAATCTAAGCTGCCAGGTGGATAGTTTAATATAATGGCTGTACATCCAAAGCAGTGGTTTTCAAACTGGGCTCTGCTAGGTGCTGCCGGGATTCCAGAGGAGGATGGGGTTGGGTGGTGGAGGACAAAGGTGCAGATGAGCACCTGGGGCTTGTCATATATCCTTGGCGATATAATTCTATCAGTCTCACATATGAAAGCATTTTAAAAAGTTTGTTGGAAATGAAATTAAAAGATATGTTTTCTATGGTTTGAAAAAATTGAAATCATATACAGGTGAGGTCTTGAAAAAGTTCAAGAAAAACATACTATGAAACAACTGTGCATGGATTTCATTTTTTGCACCAAAATAAACATCTTTTTAAAAAAATTATATATATTTTTTTCATTTTATTTGAAAGGCAGAGAAAGCCAGAGAAGAGAGGGAGAGATCTTTCATCCGCTGTTCCACTCCTCAAACGCCTATAAGAGCCAGGGTGGGCCAGGCCAAAGTCAGGAGCCTGGAACTCAACTGGGGTCTACCACGTGAGTGGCAGGGACCCAAGTTCTTTTTTTTTTTTTTTTTTTTTTGACAGGCAGAGTGGACAGTGAGAGAGAGAGAGACAGAGAAAGGTCTTCCGTTGCCGTTGGTTCACCCTCCAATGGCCGCCACGGCCGGCGCACTGCAGCCAGCGCACTGCGCTGATCCGATGGCTGGAGCCAGGTGCTTCTCCTGGTCTCCCATAGGGTGCAGGGCCCAAGCACTTGGGCCATCCTCCACTGCACTCCCGGGCCACAGCAGAGAGCTGGCCTAGAAGAGGGGCAACCGGGACAGAATCCTGCGCACCGACCAGGATTAGAACCCAGTGTGCCGACGCCGCAAGGCGGAGGATTAGCCTAGTGAGCCCCAGCGCTGGCTAGGGACTCAAGTTCTTAAGCCATCGTCCACTTCTTCCCAGGGTATGCAGAAGCAGGAAGTTGCATCAGTAGCAGAGGAGGCAATACTGGAACCAGGTACTCTGATATGGAATGCTGCAGTAACTTAACTGCTGTATCAAATGCTTACCTCTAAACTTCTAATTCCATTTTCCATGAACTTTTTGAAATACTCTCATATTGAACTTCTACATTGGAAGTGGGTAAAGTACTCCTGCTTTAAAAGACTCTACAAAGGATCTGGAGGGTACTGAGCAAGGAGTAAGCACTCAAGAACAATAATGATTTTGTATTCTACTTGGTATAAAATATAGGCACCCACTCTAAAGTATATATAAGGTACCAAGCACTGTGCTGGGCACAAGACCATGCAAATTTGAATAATGCAAAGTCCATACTGTCAAGGAACACCCTCAGCATGAATATCTGTCCCTTCTAAGTCTTTGTAAAGGCATGTCAGAACCCTGCAGTGACAGAGGGTAATTAACCTCAACAATAACCCATCCGGGGAAACTGAGCACAGATGAACAAATTTCTAGTAGATAAAACGTTGGATAAACCAATTTTTGCAAATAATGTCATTAATGGAATCTACCAAATTCGGACAGGAGGGCACTACTGTAGTGGTAAAAGCAGTTGGAAAGTTTTGCTCATTGTCTAGAAATCTAGTATGAAATGGCTGCTAAATACACAATCTGTAGCTACAAACAGATGAACATGTAGAACTTGCCACCTGATCAGCTTCAGCTTCAGAAGGGTAGCCATTGTGCTCTTCCTGTATCTCCTGCACAGCACCAGGTGCATGGACAAGAAAAGGCGGAGAAAGAGAAACACGTGCAAACAGACAGGTGAAAGGACAGAATTTCTTTTTTAAAGAGACAGTAAGCATGTAAAAGTTGACACACCTTTCACGGCTTTGCAAATCACAACTTTTTTTACCCCTTGGAGTTTAAGGAAACAATGTGTAGGCCATCTATAGCATCTTCAGCCTAAAATGGAGAATCTATTCTGTGTTTGTGTTAGGACAGAAAAATGAAAAGCAAACAAACATGGATTTCAAAGAATGTACTGTCTTTTTAAAATTAAGCAATACTATATAGCATATAGCAAAGAAATTAATTAACAGTCAAGCAAAGTGTTTGAAGAAAAAAAGCATACCACAGAAACCAGGTGAACAGCAAAGTCAAGCCAAATATACAAAAACAATCACAGACATGTATTTTAAATACAGTAAGTATTCTGTTATTCTAAAGAACTATTATGCTGCCCAGGGGTAAATTTCACTGCACACATGCACATATCACATGCTAGAGATGTCAAGATTTCATATACATAAACACATGTATGTCTATTTCTTAAAGATTGTTGCTAATTACTGTGATTTATGAATCAATGTCATATTAAATATTTCTAATTGCAATATCAACATGTTTCAAAGAAACAACTAAAAGATCATATATCCTTAAACTTTTCCAATCCCTTTAAAAAAAAGGTATACTGGTGTTAATGTAATTTCTTCATAGAATCAATTATTTTTTTTAATTTTTTATTTATTTATTTATTTTTTTTGACAGGAAGAGTGGATAGTGAGAGAGAGAGACAGAGAGAAAGGTCTTCCGTTGCCGTTGGTTCACCCTCCAATGGCCGCCACGGCCGGCGCACCGCGCTGATCCGATGGCAGGAGCCAGGTACTTATCCTGGTCTCCCATGGGGTGCAGGGCCCAAGCACTTGGGCCATCCTCCACTGCACTCCCTGGCCACAGCAGAGAGCTGGCCTGGAAGAGGGGCAACCGGGATAGAATCCGGCGCCTCAACCGGGACTAGAACCCGGTGTGCCGGCGCCGCAAGGCGGAGGATTAGCCTAGTGAGCCGCGGCGCTGGCCAATTATTTTTTGAAACTTTAAAGATTGCACTTCTAGTTCAACAGGTGATATAAAGAATATGAATACTGAAGGAGACAAGATTCTCATCCGCTTTAAAAGTTACATCAAATCAGCTGAGGCTATAAATTTTAAAAATTTAATATAGCTATATTTTTACTTCATGAAACTTTGGTTCCAATGACAGTATTTCTTAAAAAGGCAGCCAGTGAAGAAGTAACAAAGTTTAGGAAGAATTTACTATTTCCCATCTTTCATTATTGTCAATAAAGTACAAATAACTGCTCAACACACTTTTATATTTTATCATCAGACTGAATTTAGTACACAGTTGGTACAACTATCCTTCAAGGCGGTGTAACTTTTAAACACAGCCAGTTTTCTGAAATTTCCATTTTTTTCTAATACAAAGAAAATGGAATCATTCTTTGATTAAAATTCTTAAAAACAGAAAAGTGAATGAGTTAAAAAAAATTCAAAGTCCATGCAAGTGTAAAGTCAAACAGTAGTCTTCAACAATGTGAACCAGTGAAAGAAAATAACTCCCATAAACAAAAGAAAACATGGAGCAAACAAGATTAAAAACGTAAACCAACCAGAATAACAAGAATTTGACTTAATCTGCTTCTTTTACTGCTTCATTCGTTTCAATAAGATTAAAATTTTTAAATTAAAGTCATTAAATTATGCTATCAAAATCCACATTGTTTTCATTTAATGGAAATAGGTTAATTTTTCAATGTCTGATACTAAGGTTTAAATGCATGCACATTACCAATCTTTGTCTTGTTTTATGAATATTCTGAAACAAAGGGGAGGAAAATCATGAGGCAATATAAGCTATCATCCACTATATATGTATTTCTAAAAATGCCAACTAAGACTGATTTTGCTAAATTTTTCTTCAAGATGAGAATTTCTGCTTTGCTGGATTCAACATGCAAACACAAATAGGACTCAAAATCTTACTTAATGGGCAACAACTGATCACTTTTTCTTTGGTTGATAAATTCTTTGTCATGGATTACACGTAAACAAGATTCAAAGAGGCCTCGGTAGACCAATATTTATAAATCCCTGCCACAAACACACATTTGCTCAGAATTCATGTAGTACAACAAAAGCCAGTACTGTACACTGCTAACAATTTTAACATCCTGCCCTCACACACATCGGCTTTTATTGCACATAAAAACATTGTAACAAATAAAGCGTTTCTAGTGAACACTTAAAACTATGACACAGCAGAGCAAATTGATCTGAGTGACTCATAAAAACCAGTGAGAAGGTAAAGAACACTAAATAGACTAAGTGATCGATAAAGCACAGACACACACAAGGAGGAGGCCCATTTGCCAAAAGCCAAATATCCTTACCCTTATGTCAGGCCTCCTGAAAACCTGTTAGTTAAAATACAGAATATCATCATCGTGGACATGTTACTATTGACCTGTGAAAGATGCCATTAAGTTCAACAGCCCAATTCCCTAAGAAACATAATCATCTAAATAAAATCAACTAAGATCAATCTTAACACATTTGCCGTCAAAGTTTCACTCAATATCAAATCAATCCTAACATATTTGTCCTATAATTTTGAGGGAAATCTATGACTTGGGAAATGTAGTGCCCTTAGGCAAAGACAAACTACATTATTTTAAACATAAACCCTTTCTGTCAAGGCTATTACAACCTAATACAAACAGGTTATTTGAAAAGTCCATTTAGGTTTCTCTTTGGAATTTTTCCACATAGAAATAATATAAAAAGGCAGTTCTGTTCGCAAACCAGCCCACAGAAACAAAACAAAGCCAAATAACCCAGCAGAATGCCCACAACTGGCCCAGAGCATAGCTCAACTAAAGGACTGTTGGTATCATAAAGTTGAATTAACCAAAAAACTTAACAGGATTTCTATGAAACTATACTTTATCTCACACTTGGGACTTCAGAATCATACTCTCCGATACGGACACTCCATCGAGAGCAAGGTGTCTACTCCCTGTCCCAGCACCCACTGCATGGCAAAGGGAAAGCTCTGGTGGTGTGGGGGGGGGGGAGGTGGGAGGCAGTGGCTGGTCCTAGAGGACAGGGGAAGCCAAGCTTCATTCAACTGAAGGACCGTTAGCCCCGCACCTGAGGCCTGTGACTCCTAATCAAATATGCAGCACATGCATTCAGAAAGCCCTGGTCAGAAGAAACAGCCTACAGAATGGACGGAACTTCTGAAAAGCAACTAGCTGTAACAGACTAGGGAGACTTTAACCATCTCTGCTCCTTATCCCGAAGTCTGAAATCCTATCATCTAACAACTGGATGTTCTATCAAACATACACCATCAAAAAAGAAAAATCATAGCAGATTCTTCACTAGCTTTATGGTTTTTACTTGGGATAGATAAGAAGATCACATGAATACAGACTTCAAAAAAACATCTCTGTATCATTAAAAGAAAATACTCTTGGGCCAGTGATGTGGGGCAGCAGCTTAAGCCTCCTCCTCCTGTGATGCCAGATACCATACTGGAGTGCCAGTTTGAATTAGGGCTGCTATGCTTCCAATCCAGCTCCCTGCTAATGTGCCTGGGAGGAATGCCCAAGTCCTTGGGCCCCTGTACCCACGTAGGAGACCCTGATATGAGTTCTTGGCTCTTGGCTTTGGCCTGGCTCAGCCCTGACTGTCATGGTCATTTGGGGATTGAACCAAAGGATGGGCAATCAATCAATCTCTCTCCTCTCTGTTGCTCTGCCTTTCAAATAAATAATTTAAGGTGGGGTGTTGCATTTTGGCGCAGCAGGTTAAGCTGCCACCTGTGACACTGGCATCTCATATGGACACAGATTTAAGTTCTGGTTGTTCCACTTCTTTTTTCTTTTTCTTTTTCTTTTTTTTTAAGATTTATTTATTTATTTGAAAGGCAAAGTTACAGAGAGGCAGAGGTAGAGAGACAGAGAGAGAGGGAGGGAGAGGTCTTCCATCCCCTGATTCACTCCCCAGATGGCTGCAACAGCTGGAGCTGCCCCAATCTGAAGCCAGGGGCCAGGAACTTCTTCCGGGTCTCCCACGTGGGTGCAGGGGCCCAAGGACTTGGGCCATCTTCCACTGCTTTCCCAGGCCATAGCAGAGAGCTAGATCAGAAGCGGAACAGCCAGGACTCGAACTGGCGCCCATATGGGCAGGCAGCAGGTTTACCCGCTATGTCACAGCGCTGGCCCCAGTTGCTCCACTTCTGATCCAGCTCCCTATTAATGTGCCTGGGAAAGCAGCAAAGGATCGCCCAAGCACATGGGCCCCTGCATCAAGGTGGGAGATCCAGTTGAAGCTCCTGGCTTCAGCCTGGCCCAGCCCAGGCCACTTCAGTCACCTGGAGAGCGAACCAGCAGATAGAAGATATCTGTTTCTCCCTCTGTAACTTGTCTTTTTTTCTTTTTTAAAAGATTTATTTATTTACTTGAAAGTCATAGTTACACAGAGAGAGAAGAGAGGCAGAGGGAGAGAAACAGAGAGAGGTCTTCCATCTGCTGGTTCACTCCAGATGGCCACTATGGCCGGAGCTGAGCCCATCCGAAACCAGAAGCCAGGAGCTTCTTCCGGGTCTCCCACACAGGTGCAGGGGCCCAAGGACTTGGGCCATCTTCTACTGCTTTCCCAGGCCATAGCAGAGAGCTAGATCAGAAGTGGAGCAGCTGGGACTTGAACCGGCACCTATATGGGATGCCGGCACTGCAGGTGGCGGCTTTACCCCACTACACCACAGCACCGGCCCCTAACTTGCCTTTCTAATAAATATATAAATAAATCTCTATAAATAAATAAAAAGAAACTATTCTTTGGAGTCAAAAAGGTATTCTATATTAAGTAATGCTGTAGCTCAGAGAGAATTAAATCCTTTCCTAAATATAGA